GTATCAACTACTTTTTTCATTTTTATTTTTATTAACTCTTATATATATATTTATTTATATTTTAGTTTTGTTCTGTTTTGTTCTGTTTTGCTTCGTTCAAATAAATAGATCATAGCAATATCATAGGCATCTAATCCAAAAATAGTTTATAGTAATCATTTTTTTATTCTTCTTTTTTTTGACTTTTTTAAAAAAAAAATTTTGATTTAAAAAAAATGAGCTATAATCAGGATCAGAACTATAATACGAACGGTATTCAACCGTCTGATCAAATGCAACAACAACAGGATATGTTATATGATGACTATGGTAATCCAATCAATCCAGATGCTGCTTACTATCAAAATGATCCATATTACCAACAATCAAATGGTGGTCCACAAATGAATAATAATAACAACGATATGGAAAATTTTTCTGATTTTAGTAGTTATGGTCCACCACAACCTGGTACACCTTATGGTAATGGTCAAAATATGGGTTATCCAATGGATCCTCAATCTATGCAACAACCATCAATGCAACAACAGCAACAACAGTATACTCCATCACAATTATCTTATGGTGATGGTATGATGGGTAACTATGCAGATTCAGGCGCATCAACTCCTGGGATGATGTATGACCCAAATGCAATTGCAATGGCTTTACCAAATGAACCGTATCCTGCTTGGACTGCTGATACTCAAGCACCTGCAACAATTGAACAAATCGAAGATGTCTTCATTGATTTAGCTAATAAGTTTGGGTTTCAACGTGATTCTATGAGAAATATGTTTGATCATTTTATGGTTTTATTGGATTCACGTTCTTCAAGAATGTCTCCTGATCAAGCTTTATTGTCTTTACATGCTGATTATATCGGTGGTGATACTTCAAACTATAAAAAATGGTATTTTGCTGCTCAATTAGATATGGATGATGCCGTTGGTTTCAGAAATATGAATATTGGTAAATTATCAAGAAAAGCACGTAAATGGAAGAAGAAGAAGAAGAAGGAAATGAAAGAAGCTTTAGAAAATGGTGAAAATACTGAAGAAACTTTAGAAAAAATCGAAGGTGATAATACTTTAGAAGCTGCTGATTTTAGATGGAAAGCAAGAATGAATGCTTTAACTCCTTTAGAACGTGTACGTCATATTGCATTATACCTATTAATATGGGGTGAAGCTAATCAAGTTAGATTTACTTCAGAATGTCTTTGTTTCATTTATAAATGTGCTTTAGATTATTTAGAATCTCCATTATGCCAACAACGTCCTGATCCAATTCCAGAAGGTGATTATTTAAATAGAGTTATTACTCCATTATATCGTTTCATTAGAAATCAAGTTTATGAAATCGTTGATGGTCGTTACGTTAAACGTGAAAAGGATCATAATGAAATTATTGGATATGATGATGTTAATCAATTATTCTGGTACCCTGAAGGTATCTTAAAAATTATCTTTGAAGACGGTACTAAATTAGTTGAATTACCTGCAGAAGAACGTTATTTAAGATTAGGTGATATTGTATGGGATGATGTTTTCTTTAAGACTTTTAAAGAAACAAGATCTTGGTTACATATGGTTACAAATTTCAATCGTATTTGGATTATGCACATTTCAATTTATTGGATGTACTGTGCTTATAACGCTCCAACCTTTTATACCCATAATTATCAACAATTGGTAAACAACCAACCTTTAGCGGCTTATAGATGGGCTTCTGCTGCACTAGGTGGGTCCGTTGCTTCCTTTATTCAATTATTTGCTACTATTTGTGAATGGATGTTTGTTCCAAGAAAATGGGCTGGTGCTCAACATTTATCAAGAAGATTTTGGTTCTTATGTGTTATCCTTGGTATTAATTTAGGTCCTATCATCTTTGTCTTTGCTTATGATAAAGATACTGTTTATTCTGTTGCTGCTCATGCCGTTGCTGCTGTAACATTCTTCATAGCTGTTGGTACTATCATTTTCTTTAGTGTTATGCCATTAGGTGGTTTATTTACTCCTTATATGAAGAAAAATACTAGACGTTATGTGGCTTCTCAAACTTTCACTGCTTCTTTTGCACCATTACATGGTCTAGATAGATGGATGTCATATTTGGTTTGGGTTACCGTGTTTGCCGCTAAATATTCAGAATCTTACTACTTTTTAATCTTATCTCTAAGAGATCCAATGAGAATCCTATCTACAATGGATATGAGATGTACTGGTGAATATTGGTGGGGTAATAAGATTTGTAGACATCAAGCTAGAATCACTATGGGTTTAATGATCGCTACAGATTTCATTTTATTCTTCTTAGATACTTATTTGTGGTATATTATCGTCAATTGTATCTTCTCCATTGGTAGATCTTTCTATTTAGGTATTTCCATTTTAACTCCTTGGAGAAATATTTTCACTAGATTACCAAAGAGAATTTATTCAAAGATTTTGGCTACTACTGATATGGAAATTAAATATAAACCAAAGGTTTTAATTTCTCAAGTTTGGAATGCTATTGTTATCTCTATGTATAGAGAACATTTATTAGCTATCGATCATGTTCAAAAATTATTATACCATCAAGTTCCATCTGAAATTGAAGGTAAGAGAACTTTGAGAGCTCCAACATTTTTCGCATCTCAAGATGATAACAATTTCGAAACTGAATTTTTCCCACGTAATTCTGAAGCTGAACGTCGTATTTCTTTCTTCGCTCAATCTTTAGCCACTCCAATCCCAGAACCATTACCTGTCGACAACATGCCAACATTTACTGTTTTAACTCCTCATTACGCTGAAAGAATCTTACTATCACTAAGAGAAATTATTCGTGAAGATGATCAATTCTCAAGAGTCACCTTGTTGGAATACTTGAAACAATTACACCCAGTCGAATGGGATTGTTTCGTTAAGGATACCAAGATTCTTGCTGAAGAAACTGCTGCTTATGATAATGATGAAAATGATCCTGAGAAGGATGAAGGTCTAAAGGCTCAAATTGATGATTTACCATTCTATTGTATTGGTTTCAAATCTGCTGCTCCAGAATATACTTTACGTACACGTATCTGGGCTTCCTTGAGATTCCAAACTTTGTATCGTACCGTGTCTGGTTTCATGAACTATTCTAGGGCTATTAAACTGTTATACCGTGTGGAAAATCCCGAGATTGTCCAAATGTTCGGTGGTAACGCTGAAGGTTTAGAGAGAGAATTAGAAAAGATGGCCAGAAGAAAATTCAAGTTTTTGGTTTCCATGCAAAGATTGGCTAAATTTAAACCACATGAATTAGAAAATGCTGAATTTTTATTAAGAGCTTACCCAGATTTACAAATTGCTTATTTGGATGAAGAACCTCCATTAAATGAAGGTGATGAACCAAGAATTTATTCTGCTCTAATCGATGGTCACAGTGAAATTTTAGAAAATGGTCGTAGACGTCCAAAATTCAGAGTCCAATTATCAGGTAATCCAATCTTAGGTGATGGTAAATCTGATAACCAAAATCATGCTTTGATTTTCTACAGAGGTGAATACTTACAATTGATTGATGCTAATCAAGATAATTACTTAGAAGAATGTTTAAAGATTAGATCTGTCCTTGCTGAATTCGAAGAATTAAACGTTGAACAAGTTAACCCTTACGCCCCAGAATTGAAATATGAAGAACAAGCTACAAATCACCCTGTCGCTATCGTTGGTGCCAGAGAATATATTTTCTCTGAAAACTCTGGTGTTCTTGGTGATGTTGCTGCAGGTAAGGAACAAACGTTCGGTACATTATTCTCTCGTACATTGGCTCAAATTGGTGGTAAATTACATTATGGTCATCCCGATTTTATCAATGCTACTTATATGACTACAAGAGGTGGTGTTTCTAAAGCACAAAAGGGTTTACATTTGAATGAAGATATTTACGCTGGTATGAACGCACTATTACGTGGTGGTCGTATTAAGCATTGTGAATATTATCAATGTGGTAAAGGTAGAGATTTAGGTTTTGGTACTATTTTGAATTTCACAACAAAGATTGGTGCTGGTATGGGTGAACAAATGCTTTCCCGTGAATACTATTATCTAGGTACTCAGCTTCCAATTGATCGTTTCTTAACTTTCTATTATGCGCACCCTGGTTTCCATTTGAATAATTTATTTATTCAATTATCTGTCCAAATGTTTATGTTGACTCTGGTTAACTTGCACGCTCTAGCTCATGAATCTATTATCTGTATATATGATAGAAACAAGCCAATTACTGATGTCTTGTATCCAATTGGTTGTTACAATTTGTCACCAGCTATTGACTGGGTTAGACGTTACACATTATCTATTTTCATTGTTTTCTGGATTGCCTTCATTCCTATTGTCGTTCAAGAATTGATTGAACGTGGTATTTGGAAGGCAACTCAAAGATTCTGTCGTCATTTACTATCTCTGTCTCCTTTGTTCGAAGTTTTCGCAGGTCAAATATATTCTGCTGCTTTATTAAGTGATTTAACTGTAGGTGGTGCTCGTTATATTTCTACAGGTAGAGGTTTCGCTACATCACGTATTCCATTTTCCATTCTATATTCAAGATTTGCTGGATCAGCTATTTACATGGGTTCTAGATCTATGCTTATGTTACTGTTCGGTACAGTTGCTCATTGGCAAGCTGCTTTGCTTTGGTTCTGGGCTTCTCTATCTGCTTTGATGTTTTCTCCATTCATTTTTAACCCTCATCAATTTTCATGGGAGGATTTCTTCTTGGATTACAGAGATTACATTAGATGGTTATCAAGAGGTAATAACAAATACCATAGAAACTCCTGGATTGGTTACGTAAGAATGTCGAGATCTCGTATTACTGGTTTCAAGCGTAAGCTGGTCGGTGATGAATCTGAAAAGGCAGCTGGTGATGCTAGTAGAGCACAAAAGAAGAATGTTATTTTTGCCGAGATTTTCCCAACAGCGGTATACGCTGCTGGTTGTTTCATTGCGTTTACATTTATTAACGCGCAAACTGGTGTTCAGGTCGGTGATGAAGGCAGAGTCAACTCTACACTTCGTGTTATTATCTGTACTTTGGCTCCAATCGGTATCGATCTAGGTGTTCTTTTCTTCTGTATGGGTATGTCTTGTTGTTCCGGTCCATTGTTCGGAATGTGTTGTAAGAAGACTGGGTCTGTTATGGCTGGTATCGCCCACGGTGTTGCCGTTGTTATTCATATTGCTTTCTTCATTGTTATGTGGGTTTTGGAAGGTTTCAATTTCGCCAGAATGTTACTTGGTGTTGTTACCTGTATGCAATGTCAAAGATTTATTTTCCAATTAATGACTGTATTTTTGTTAACTCGTGAATTTAAGAATGATCATGCTAATACTGCATTCTGGACAGGTAAATGGTACGGTAAGGGTCTTGGTTATGCAGCTTGGACTCAACCAACTAGAGAATTGACCGCCAAGGTTATTGAATTATCTGAGTTTGCTGCCGATTTTGTTTTAGGACATATTATTTTAATTTGCCACCTACCATTCCTTTTGATCCCACAAATTGACAAGTTCCACTCTGTTATGTTATTCTGGTTGAAACCATCTCGTCAAATCCGTCCTCCAATTTACTCATTGAAACAAGCTCGTTTACGTAAGCGTATGGTAAAGAAATATGCTTCATTATACTTCTGCATTTTGGTCATCTTTGCCGCTTGTATCATTGCTCCAGCTGTCGCATCTGGATATGTCCCACAGAAAATTGGTGGATCCTTGACCGGTGTTGCTCAAAACTTATTCCAACCAAGAAATGTTAGTAACAACGATACTGGTTATCAAATATCCACATATGTAAGTCACTGGTATACGCATACACCAAGTATAAAATCTTGGTCTACTACTAAATAGAGAAAGTGATTTTGAATTTTTAAAACTTATAATGGGACAGGAAGACAACGTAACAATTAGAATAGACACTGTTAAAGCTTTACCTACATTCCAGATAAATAGAAATTAGTGGCTTGTTTTCCTATTTTTTTAAACCGCCCTATTATTTTATTTGATTGCCAAGATTATATAGCCTGCCTTGGTCATCATTTAGTTATATAATTCCATTTTTTGTATCATTTTTTCTAATATTTGTATAATACTCATTCTATTTATGAAATACATGTTTTCACAATTAAAAAACTAATTTTGTTTTATATACCTGTACTGATTATATCTAATGACCTTCTTGATAACTAGCTGCAGGCGACGATCGACCGGCCGGAATAAAATTAAAGCAATAAAATAATTAGTGACATGACGTAAAAAGATTTGTCACAATAAATAAGAAAGCTTTACAAATTACTCTATACTGAAAACCAGAAAAAGAAAATAGAACAAGTTTTTATTAATTAAAACTTCAACTATTTTGAAATACAGCAGTGTCTTCCAATTTTGTATTTGCCCAACAGTATTTAGATTTAAAAAGCAACTCTTCTATGAGAAATATTTATTACACATGGTGGATCTTTTTCCATCTGTTGACACATAATCTGAAGTTTGTTTTCTGTGACAATTTTGATTTATTCCCTACAATTGAAATACAAGGGTCAAAGTTTTTCAACTCATCTGATGGAAAACAGTTTTTCTTAAAGGGAATTGCATATCAACCTCAAAGAACTACCGAGGAGCTAGATAATACGGACGAAATATTTGACACTAATTATATAGATCCACTGGCTGAGCCCACAATTTGTTTAAGAGATTTACCATATTTACAAGAACTAGGAATTAATACAATTAGGGTATATTCAATTGATCCAGATAAAGACCACGACGAATGTATGCATAGCTTGATGAAAGCAGGGATATATGTTATTCTCGATTTGGCAGAACCTGAAACTTCTATTGTAAGAGATAACCCTACTTGGGATGTTACACTTTTTGAAAGATATAAAGCCGTTATTGACACTATGAGTCAATATAACAATGTTTTAGGATATTTTGCTGGTAATGAGGTTACAAATGACAAATATACTACGGCAGCATCTCCTTTTGTTAAGGCAGCTATTAGAGATACAAAGGACTATATTAGAAAAAAAGGTTACAGAGCTATTCCTGTAGGTTATTCTTCAAACGATGATATCGAGACTAGAGATAACCTTGCCCAATACTTTATTTGTGGACAGATGAGTGCAGATTTTTATGGTATAAACATGTATGAATGGTGCGGATATTCGTCTTATATCAATAGTGGCTACGAGGAAAGGACCGAATATTTTAAAGATTATCCTGTTCCTATATTTTTCTCTGAATTCGGTTGTAATCTAGATAGACCAAGGCCATTTACAGAGGTAAGTGCTCTGTTTGGGAAGCAGATGTCAAATATTTGGTCTGGTGGGTTGGCGTACATGTATTTCGAAGAAGAAAATAACTACGGAGTTGTGAGAGCTTCTGGAAGTGAAAAAAATGTCACAAAACTACCTGACTTCGAACTACTAAAGCATCAGTTTTTGCGTGCTAATCCGCCGAAGGCTGAAAAAACTAACTACTTGAAAGATATAAAACTGGCAAAGGGTAAACAGTCATACAATTGTCCTAAGTATTCAGAAATATGGCAAGTCAGTGGGGATTTACCACCTATCCCAAACGAAACCATATGTGCATGCCTTAATGGCTTACCATGTATGCTTGCCGATATGAACTCTGACTTCCCATTTGACGAGTATTTTAGTAACATTTGTGAAAAGACTAACTGTACTGAAATTATGAGTGATGTAGGGAACGGATCATTCGGTAAATATTCATTTTGTTCAAATCGACAAAAATTATCTTACGTTGCCTCACGAGTGTACTTCGAAAGTAATTTAACAAATCCAGAATGCCCTTTCAATGATGATGTTTTTATTCTTAATAGCGAATCGAATGCCTTTTTAAAATCTAACAAAGTTTGTAAGAAGGTTCTTGAAGATATTAAATTGTTGAGTGATAAACATTACCCGTTATCATATTTGCCATTTGGGTTATACCCCCTAAATTCTCCGGTGTATGTCATACATGACGGCGATGATATGTCCATTCAAAACAATGACGATCATTCCAATGAAAAACAAAGTAGTGTGGCCCCAAAAACTTTTCATATAACTAAACGGAACAAAATTTTAATAATGATGATAGTTGCATCCATTAGCTTCTAAATAACACATATGGCTTGTCTTCATTTATACATATGATTATATAACAAATTAAATGTTATGATAGATATTAAATATGTAATATTATAATAATTGCAGCAGTTTACATATGTTTTTCTTATACTAATAATCTTAAGAATATATTAATTTGTAAAAACTTATGCAAACATAACTAAGTCATTAGTCTGCTTCAATTTCAAATGGTGCAATGCTGTTTCACTGAAAAATCAAGAATTCAGTAGTAACTCTCCATTTTCGATTAGATCGTAACAAGATAACCATACCCTGAAATCACCGACTAGTTAATAGGGAGAACAAATTCGGATTATGTAAACAATTGTCTATTAGAGCATGTTCCGAATATATCTATAACGATTCACGCTATCTAATCTGTCATTGCAATTTGATAGAGGAATCTTTCTTATATGATCACGACTAACGTTCACTGAGACCACTTTTCAGTTGCATGTGCTATCTTTGTTTTTCATATTAAGTATCTGCTCTATTTCCATCCAAGACATTACGTATTTTACAATTTACACCGTAAATTGAACAACAAAAACAAACACATATTTATCAGTATTTTATTTCCCTATATATTTGTATAACTGTCATCACGTTTATTCCTTAGTGCAAATATATCCATCATATACAGTTTATACCATGCTATTTAGGTTGTTAATGGTACTGAGCTATTTGCACTGCATTTACACAGCATACTATGAATATTGTACACGTATGCATATAATGACGTAGAATAGGTGATATGTTCTGTCTTGTTTGATGGGGTCTTCATTATAAATGGGTAAATGATAGAATGGCATAAACCTGCTAGTAGAGTACCTTTTATTAGTCATTATATGTTCTGTAGTTATATATATAGGCTCTTTTAAAAAGCGGTGAAATTTCAAATCTAAAATTGCGTAAAGTGAAAAGTATGGCGATACTTTAAAAACAGTTATATTTCCTGCCCTTTTAGTGCAATGGTTAGCATGCGTTCTTCCGGTGGATGTGATCCGGGTTCGAGTCCCGGAAGGGGCTAGTACGTTTTTTTTAGTTGAAGTTATGCTCTCTTTTTTTTAGTTCCTAGTTAAATCTGTTCTCTTTCTTGGAAGTTTGTTACCAGCTGAAATGTCATTTGGGGACAATTACACCTGGCCTTTATTTAAGTTCATTATTACAATTTCTAATATATAATCAGTCTTGTAATAAAATTGGATAATCGGATATATATTGAAATGTGACTGCAACACCCATACACTATCTAGTAGTATATGTGATGTCAGGGTGTATTCTGCAAAAACGACGTAGAAATTTCAGTTTTTTTTCCAGTTGGAATTTTCCCATTTTTATTTTTCAGCAATAATGACCGAGACCTATTCGGGAAATTTTCACTTTCACATAGTAAAATGTATATAGTAATAAGACGTTTAAGTAAGTGTAACAGTGAGATTAGCCAATTATATAGTTGAATACTTGAAATATAAAGAAACTGTTAAACCAAATATCGATAATTAAAATGGCTAAACAATCCCTAGGTATGTCTTTAAGATCCTACAATATATGATAAAGCCAGGATAAATTAATGAATATAGAATATGACAGTAGTCTTTTGGTCGATCCCTTTTTAATCTAATACACATAATTATGGGAAATTTTTGTTATAGATGAGCTATTATTGAATGTATGATAAGAATAATTGATGAAGTCAAAACTATTGTGAAGGAGATCACCTGTTCAATGTGCAATCTATGAAGATGAATTTTTACAAAACAGAACAAGTCCAAGAAGTTGATGCTACATTGGTTATTCTCCAGAAACAGACACTCCTTAGTGTAACGGTCTGACAACTAATCAGATACATTGATTAAAAAAAGGTAATATGATGACCAATTAAATATTCTGAAATTAATTTTATTCGGACTATCACTAATTATGAATGATTTACTAACAGATAATTGATTATGTTATTTTTCAAATCAATATACCTTTTACTATAGACGTCTCCTCTAACAGAAACAAGTCCAGAAAGGCATACTTCACTGCCCCATCATCCGCCAGACGTGTGTTGATGTCTGCTCCTCTATCCAAGGAACTAAGAGCTCAATATGGTATCAGTGCTCTTCCAATCAGAAGAGATGATGAAGTCCTAGTTGCCCGTGGTGCCAAGAAAGGTCAAGAAGGTAAGGTTTCTTCCGTTTACAGATTGAAGTTTTCTATCCAAGTTGACAAGATCTCTAAGGAAAAATCTAACGGTGCTTCCGTTCCAATCAACATCCATCCATCTAAGGTTGTTATTACCAAGCTACATCTAGACAAGGACAGAAAGGCTTTGATCGAAAGAAAGGGTGGTAAGCTAGAGTAAATATTATCTTCTCAACAAAAAATAAAATAATAACCCATTTTAAAATTAAAATTAAAAAAATTTGTCATTTCCATTTAACGCAAAAGTAAAATTAAAGCATACAAACTAAATTTGTTTAAATTTAAGCACTAAATATTGTTTAATATTATACCACATATCATTCATAAATAAACATATATTATAGTATATATATATAAGTATAGATTTATTATTATAGTAATCTTTTATACGCTTCCACACCTTTTCATTTGTAAGAGTTCCACAAGTGTATTAAAGAACTATCTTTGAACATAGAGGTTCTAGTTGCACAGTTGACAACGAATCCTCCAAGTCATCTGCATTGATTCTGGTTCATTGGAATTGTAATTTGTGACGCTTATCAAGGAGCCCAATATATTTTGCGACGTCATAAACTTATTGGTTTCTCTCTCTGCTTAACAAAAAAAATGCCGAAATTGCGGTGACAGCGAGTTGTTCAAAGAAAATATTGAAGGGATTTTGTAGATGGAAGGGACAAAGACCCGATCTCTCGCTCAACGTAAGATTAAAGGTAGCTATCCTTGAGGTAATTAGTATTAGATACAAATTTTTACAGTACCCCTTGAACCAACAACCTTAAAAGTACGATTATAACAGATAAAACCTTTCGATCTTGCAAGTAGTTATCATTAACAGTTAAATTTAGTTCGAGAAAGCTCTTCCAGCTGCTTAATTTTCAACAATTCAAGAATACGACTAATAAAAAAAAAGGGGAACCATGACTAGTTCAAATACAGCAATGGATAACCAAGACGCAAAACAGAGTAAAGAAAATAATACAAATTATATGGCCAGGACCACCAAGAGATGGGTTGAACCAGGTATTAGATTAAGTCCGAAACATTCAAATAATGGAGACGCTGTTCATGAGCCTGTCTTCGATGTTGAGGATTTTATTTCTCCAGGTCAACTATACTCAACAGAATCTGGTTGTTTATTTCATGCAGGTAGAATATTGATCGTTTTAGTTGGATTACCTGCAACTTCGAAAACTTTGTTATCAGTAGCTATAACTAGATATACAAGATGGTTAGGTGTAAGAACTGAATCATTTCATCTATCTAAGTATACTAAAACAAATACAAACATACCTTCTTTTCTATCAGATGAATTTTCTACCGTTGAAGGTGCTGAATTTAAAAAAGAGATTATTAATAAAGTAACAAATGATATGATAAAATTTTTTGATAATGGGAAGGGACAAATTGCCATATATGATGCTCTGAATATTAGAAAAAGTGAAAGAGCTGATATTAAGAAGACTTTTGAAAATAATAATGTTAAAGTTCTTTTCGTGGAATCTATTGTTACTGATCCAAATTTAATGACAAAAAATATTGAATTGGCAATCCAATCAGAAGATTATAAAAATTGGGGGAAACATGAGGCAATTAAGGACTATACGAGGAGAATTACAGATAATGAATCCTTATATGAAAGAATGTCACCAATTGAAGGTGTATCATACATTAAATATTTGAATTTTGGTGAAAGAATTATAATGAATAATACTAATTATGGATATCTTGTTAACAAAATTGTTTTCTTCCTAATGAATTTAAGTAATAAACAAGGTTGTATCTATTTATCCAGATGTGGTAGAAGCGATTCGGATAAATATACGGATGATGAGGTTTTGAATGAAGAAGGATTAAAGTTTTCTGAGATATTAACAAAAACTGTGATAGCTAGGGTTAAAGAAAAGGGATTAGAAAGAAAGAAAAAGGCAATGGAGTTTAACAAGAATTCAAAAGACACATCTGTAACTGCAGATCCATCTGTTAACAATGACGATAATCTAAATTCAGACTCCTTAGTTGTGTGGACTGCTGAGAGAAAGAGAACATACGACACTGCAAAGTTTTTCAAAGAACATGGATTTGATGTACGAAAAAGATCACAATTGAAACAATTACACCCCGGTGTAGTGGCAGATATGACAATGGATGAAATTAAAGAGAAATATCCAAATGAAGTTGAAGAATATGAAAGGGATCCTTATCATTATCGTTTCTCAAGAGCTGAATCATATCACGATCTAGCTGTTAGAATGGAACCTCTATTATTAGAATTGGAACACATGCATAATGATATTTTAATTATTGCACATGAATCTACTTTGAGGGTTTTATATGGTTATTTTATGGCATGTACTAGTTTAGAGGTCCCAACGCTAGATTTTACTAGACATCAATTGGTTGAAATATCATTTAATCCTTTCAACAACGTGGTGACAAGAATTCCTATTGATATTTAATTCATGAATAATAAAAAAGGTTTTTTTACTATGTCTCTCGTATTTATAAATACTTATCATAACATAGGGAATATCATTATTCCATCCTGAAAATATGGAATTATTTTCCTGTATACATGTCTCATATATATATATATATTCTTCTTTTCTTAATAAGACAACAACAATAACAAATAAATGTTATAGTTCAATGAATTATAATTTTTAAGTGAGAGCAATTATGACACTTCGTCCCACATCAAGAGAGTTTACACATTGTTAAATGTATTTAGAAAACTCTAAATTTGCTGCACTTTTGGTAAATATTATTAATGCACATCAAAACTTTAATGAGATAGACTTTGATTTGTGTATCATTACAATTGAACTACAAATTGATACATATAGTCATATATGATATGAATGTAAAACGTTACTTAATTTTGTTATTAAATTCAAATAACTATGGAATGTTAAAAAATGCAGGTACTAGTATATAAAATGGGAAGAATAGATAATATGATATAAACAAAAATAAAATGAGAAGAAGAGAGAAAGAGAGAGAAGAGAGAGAGAGAGAGAAAAGAGAGAAAAATATGACGTAGAAAAGATATTATTAAAAAATGAGAATTAAAAAAAAAAGAAAGAGAGTTTTTTTAAAAAAAAGGAGAGAGAAAATGAGGTGAAAAAATCTGAATTGATCCAAGGTTAATCTATTAAGATTAAACACACTGAATCATAATCGGAGATAATCAAAAATAAAAATAATGCAAAAAATGTTGAAAAGAATAGAAAAAGGTGGCTTCATTAAAAAAAGATAAAGACAAAACCACATAGAATAATGTTTAAAAATGGAAACATATTCTAACTAAATGAAAGGGGTAGAACTTTTGCGGGATATCTGTATAAATCATTGTGATAGTTGAAGTTTTTGTTGACTTCTAGCCCATCTTGCGACATCCTTTGTAGCTTGAGAAAAAGAAGGATTACTTCTTGTTTTCTTGATTAAGTCAGTAATGGCTTCTTGACCATAAAATTGTTTGATGGAACCATCAGATATCATTGAAGCAATATCGCCAATTAAACCGACAGCAGATCTTGCAGTAGAGTCCTCGGTATATAGTTGTGGGTCATCTGCAATTAAAGATATAAATTGGAAGATAGTGCCAACATATGGATAGATAGCTTGTGGGGTATCGTGTAAACCACCAACAATACCGACATAAGCATCCAAAACTGATTCTAGAACTCTAGTGTTATAATCCATGGCGTCTAAGGTACCATTTTCTGGTTTAGTGTTTTGGGCAGCGACACATAGTGCCATAACATCTTGTAAATAAGGAACGAATTCTGGACCAATATTTGATGCAATATCACCAAAGACACTTAAAATGGCTGGCTTCAATTCCTTTCTTGAACTTGGATTAGATAAAATTTGACCAAGGACATTCATAAAGGAACCTGCATATTGCTTGAAATCTTCCTCCAATGAGTTAGAAATGTCTGCAATAAAGCCGACAGCTGTAATAGCCACTGTAGATTCGACTTGATTTAAAGCCTTTACTAAGAAAGGTGAAAAGGCTTCCAAATACTTTTGGAACCCTTTACCTAAAGACATTGATAAAGCAGAAATTGCAAAAAAGACATCATCTTCAATAAAAGAAGCATCTTTCTTTTGTAATAACTTAATGAATAAATCCATTAACATATCAGAGACACCTTGAATACTTTGAGGACTCTTTCTAATAACGGCAGCTAATACAGTTAAAATATTTGATTGTAATTCTTGAAGACTTTGAGCATCTTCCAAACTTAATTGTTCTTCATTGACTGCCATTGTTTGACCTAATTTATCCAAGACAAAAGTTGATATGGAAGCTGAAGTCTCGGCGACATCATCAGAAGAAAATTCTACCATTGTAGTCAGAGCAGCAAAAGCAGATGCTCTTGCATTAAACTCATTATCTGGTCTATTAGAACATTTCATCAATCCATCTACTAATGCTGGATAATAATTATAAATTGGAGAAGGTTTCTCTTCAGTTAATTGTTCAATTAAATTAATAACTGTCCAAGAACAATTGGTTGCAACTTTAGGATGATCCTGTAGACCTGTTAAACATGCATTTACAACACCTGGAAGATGTTGTTGAGGGTCGATAGCCATTGCTACTAAATCAGCAATTCTACCAATACACCACGAAGCTGTATCTTTAACTTGTAAAGTTTGGTCATTCATCAAATTTAGAATAGCAGGTAAAGCTTGATGAACATAGAAAGTAGTTTGGGTTTTATCTGGGCCATCCATAATAGAACCAAATGCCATTACAGCAGCTTCTCTATTTCTCCAATTTTCACTAGTAATGTTTTGTTCAACAAATTCTAATACAGGTGCTAAAATACTATCCCCACAATTTTGAGCATATAATTGCAAACAAGCACCAGCCGACATTGCAACGTTCCAATCATCATCTTCAGGATCACTATTTTGTCTTGTTAACAATTTTAATAAATTTGGTACCACATCTTTTAAAGAAGATAAAGCAAAATTATAACTTTGTAATGGAGATTCTGGGAATTGAGAACGTTCATAAGCAATATCAATTTCTTCTTCACAAACTGTTGACCAAAATTCAACAGTCATAGAGGCAACTTTATCATCCTCAGATTCCATTGTGGCCACAGTTAAAGCATATAAAGCTTGTTCCATGTAAGGTTTCATTAGTGCATAATATAAGGACATGATTTTACATAGACAACCAAATGAAGCAGCTTGAATCTCAACATCATCAGCTTGAGTAGCTTCACAAACAATTTGCATCAAATAATTTCTTTCACCATCACGTTCCATATTATTCTTAATAAAGATTAAAGAATCTGCCAAAGCATTTAAAGCAGCTAATCTAACTGTTCTTGAAGGTTCGGTTGCTTGAGTACATTGAGCAATAGCAATTAAAATTTGATTAGATGCAGAGACTAAAGCTTGAGATTGTGGATCAGCACTTTCACAAATATAACCAATTGTTAATAAAGCTGCTCTTCTGCTATTTTCACTTTGGTTTGGATTCGTATGATCTACCATAATTTTCATTAAATCTTGCCATTCATTTTGTGGTAATTCAATATCGGCAATTGCGGCAATCAATTGAGCTGATGCATTCGCTACACGAGGTTCATTAGAAGTTAAAGCTGCTAAAGCATTTTGTTTAATTTGAGTTCTTGATTCAACATCAACTTGTTGAGACCAACGTTGTGCAAATTGTTGATTTTTAATGGAATCCTTTGATATCAATTCATTTTTCAAATTTAATGCAGCAAGGATACGTGGTTCTACTCTTGAATTTTCTTCAATTAAAACTTGAGATAGTAAACCTGCATATTGGATAAAATTTTCATTAGAAAATCTTTTCAATTGAGTTTCACTTTCCAAACGAACATTAGCATCGGGACTCAAAATAGTATTTTCTAATAGTTGAGTAAATTCAGCGGTAGACATTTTCGTGTATTAGTTTTCTTAGGAGATATATATAGATAGGGTATCAGGATGAATATATTCGTAAAGAATAGACTGTCTTAATGGTTGATGTTCAAATTAATGACAATAATATATAGTATTGTTCAACAGTAGGTGGACACAATTGAAAATAATTAAAGGAATAACACTTATTGTTTCTCTTTAAAGCTGTTATTGACTTGGATCACAGTAAACAAAACAAATAAATGTTGTTGTGGTATTATATTTAGGAAGATGAAATAACTTATTTATTGCAAAAAATAAGATGCAATTTTTTGTTAAGTGATATACCTTTAGTGTAAAGTGTGTTGTGGTTTATCTCTTCTTATTTTGATATTTTTTTTTCTGAAAGGAAAACGAAGAAAGAAAAAAAATTGAATTTCGCTGAGAGAGAAAATTTAATCAGTGCTGTCATTACCCGGACATATGAGAGCTTATCACAGTACACGAAACTGAATAATATATATATTAAAAGATTGTGTCACAAAAGGTATTTCGTCTTCGAAATCAATGAACAACGTCAACTTCAACTACGACATACTGGAAACAATTCTTCATAGTTTCGTTGAGGTAACTGGAAGGGTGGTACGCTACGTAATGTTTTTTTTCTTTTTTCCTTTTAAGAGAATACAAACATGTATATTATTAAATTATGAATTTTTAAATAAGTTAAGTAAGAACCATTGTGTCTATTATTGTAATTTTTAATGGAAATAGAAACCACATGCCCATACTTGTATGCAAAATAATTAATATAAGATATAGATATTAATTAATTTAATGAATTTTCTTTTATTTCCTTTGGCATCCCAACTTTATGTTTTTTCAATTGTTCAATTGCGAAAAAGATTAACATAGTGAAAGGACCTAATCTTGTAAAACTTGGTAACCAACCTCTGAACATAAAGGAAGGACCTTCATTTTTCACAGCAGTCCTTAAAATTTGCATTGCGGATCTATGTTCATCCTTAGCGTTCATGATTCTTGTCTTAATAACATCAGCAGGAGAACAAATTGTAGTGGCGACTAACCCAGCTAATAGAGATGCAGAAAAATGTGTTGTGTTTTTTGATGGATCCATATTCAATTGTGTCACTAAATAATTTTTGAATACATCATAAGTGACAACTTGACTTGCAGTCATTAATACCCCTCTAACCATATTTGGTTTCCAACCAGTTAAAAGTGTCTTAATTCCACCTTCAAATCTATAAATTTTATAAACACCATCTAATGCATTTTTATAATTTCTACGTTGTGTTACCTCTAAAGCAGAATCATTTTGCATTCTAATATTTACAACGTCTGCAAAATTTCCAACAAATCCACCAATTGCACCACTGATCATTGAACTTGGTAGTAAGTATACCATATTAGTTAATTGATTATTTGGAATCAATTTTTGTTTGATTAAATCATATGCACCAAATCTAGCTGTTGTATAAGTACATTGTCTTAAAAGGGCAGCGCTTAAACCAGAATACAATCCGACTACACCTTCGTGTTTTAATATGCCTGTTATCATACCACCAATAGTTGGTTTTGGTAAAGGAGCAGCTTGTAATCTGACTTTCGCCAGATCTAATGGATGTGTAACAACTGTAGCGAAACAACCAGCGGCACCACCGTACCACCAAGGATATTTTATAGGCTGTGTATTATTTGACATTGTATGTGTGTATGTATATGTGTATGTGTGTGTGTGTGTGTGTGTGTGTGTGTGTGTGTGTATCTACCTTTTCTAGCAAAGAAATAGGAAACACTTTCATGAACTCACATCCAAGACCCACACTATATATATATAGTCCTTACCAAGTGAGAGGAGTTCCAGTCTCCACTTCAAGAAATAAGCTCAAGCCCAACTTAGGAAACAAAGTGTGGGTCAACCGTCATGAATTTTCCTTCTAAGTAATGCCTCATTCCAAAAGGGAACAGCTAGACCACATCCATCCTTATTACTGGCGAACAGCATGAACTAAATGACGTTTGAAGAGCCTGCTCTTCCCTCTTTTACTTTGCCCTGTCCCCTCTTTATCGCTCCTCTGCGGATTCTCGCTCCCCTCACAGAATTCCGTGCAAACTGAAATTTCCACGCACGCAGCACGCGTGACATCCATAGCAGTTTTGCCATCACAGAGAGAACTATTTTCTCCGAGTTTCTGTGCACACTCACACTCACACACTCTCACTCTCACACCCACACTGCGAATGGTGGGAGAGTCAGGCAGTAACCCTTTGCGCTAATTCTCTTTTCTTTTGATGTTTGTTGTCATCATGCACATTTTTATTATCAATTTAGCATTCTTATAGCGCAATCAGCATTGATAATAATAGCGACACTGTCAGCTGTAACGCTGTGACGGACTGCGATGAGCCCACACATAATATATATGGAATGTCTAACCCATCTTGTCCGATGTGGGTTTTTCAGTGCGTGAGGGTAACCTCTTTTTAAATTTATTTTTCAGTTTTGTTCCTTGAAGGAAGAAAAAAATATTATGTAAAGTTAGTAGTAGACCATTGCAAACAACGATGACATTCATATCTATTTATCTACATACATATATTGATTTTGTTACAGTAGGAACAACGACGTCAAAAAAAACTATATTTATACTTGAAAATATTGTTCAATTGAAAGACTGTCGAAGTATCGAAGAAAAAAAATTTCACTATATTATACATATTTTACTCCAGATGCCGTCTTTGGTTAATGTAGTGTCTGCACAACAATCGTATGAGTTGAACCATAGTTCATCAACTACAAATGATTCGACAGATATCATTCCAATTAAGGATCATCGACGTAGAAGATCGTCAAGTATTATATCACAAGTTGAACAAGAATCCTTGGAAGATGATACCGATCAAAGAATGTTACCAAACATGAACGCAACTTGGGTGGATCAAAGAGGTGCATGGGTAATTCATTTAGTCTTAATTTTAATGTTAAAACTATTTTATAATCTAATGCCAGGTATTACCAATGATATCGCTTGGACTTTAACTAATTTGACCTATGTTATTGGATCGTATGTAATGTTTCATATGATTAAAGGGACTCCTTTCGAATTCAATGGTGGTGCTTATGATAACCTGACAATGTGGGAACAAATCGATAATGAAACTTTATATACTCCATCAAGAAAATTTTTGATTTTATTACCAATCGGTTTATTCTTAATCGTTACACAATTTTTAAAAAATGATTTAAAATTATTCGCAATTAACTTTATTATTTCATTTTGTTTAGGTATTGTACCAAAATTACCATTGTTACATAGAATTAGAATTTATGTACCATTTATAACAAACCCACATCAAATTAGTTAATACATACATATATATATATTGAGTGAGTGATTGAGTGAGTGATTGAGTGTTAGCTCCGGAAACGCTGAACATCGGAGCTTTATTATATTTCATTCACTTTTTTTATTTTCATAAACGGCATTAAATTCTTTCTTTTTTCAATATTAAGTTATGTGTGTGACACCGTTCTCCTATTTGTGTTTAACGATACTCTCTTATTGCAAGTGCCAAACACACACAGACACACACAAAAATTATTAGTATGTGATGAATTAATCCCGCGGATTAACGTAGTGAAACGAAAAAAAAAAAGAGTGATACTGCAATTTGGGTGGGAAAAAAAATAACGACAACTGCAGGATTTGAACCTGCGCGGGCAGAGCCCAAAAGATTTCTAATCTTTCGCCTTAACCACTCGGCCAAGTTGCCTTAAAATCTGAAAAGATTTAATGTTTATTTACATACACTAGTTTGACGAGTTATCCGGGTAACATCTTTTAAAATTCTCACAATAAATGACAGTTTCTTAATGTAACATGTTATTGTGTAATGGGTGTCGGAAAACTGGGAATTAGAGAATAACAATAGTATATATATTTACTGTAGGTCAGGACTAGGTGTCCGTTGCCAGCAGCAGAGCTCCTCTCCCTCCTATCAGAGAGAGATGTGAGAAAGTGTAATATATAATTCTATATAATTTGGAAAACGGGTTCCTTTATATACAGAAATTTTCACAGCAATATCGCATTGTACGAAGATCACTGTGTGTCACACTGTGATATAATTTCCAACAATGGGAACGTGCATTGTTGAAAAACTGGAAAACCTCCTGTGACATATTTTGAAATTTACTTAAAGATATATGATTTAATGGCTAATTTTACATATTTCAAGTAATACATCAGAATTTAGTTTGTTAAGAAGCTTAAATTCAAGTGATTTGCCCTGGATTCCCACCACTACTACCAATCTTCTCGATAAATAATGTATGTATGTATGCTTTTATGTATGTATGTATATCGAGACAAATTTAGCCTCTAGTGGGAACTAATATATATTGATATCTAATAAAGAGTGGATGTAATAAAAACAGTTCATAGTTTACTACTGCAATACAACCAGCAATATATTTCTGTTCGCAGTATTTGATAATTCGTGTATAGTTAAAAGAAATATTTATATGAGATACATAGTTCCGTATATAAATGCATGTATCCTATTTACTGACATCAGGATAGACATCGAATCTTCTTTGTTTATACAAAGGAACTGACATTCTAAAATCATCAATAGCTTCTGGATTTAGTTCAGCATAAACAATCTCTTCATCGATGCCAGCTTCGGCAATAATATTACCCTTTGGATCAGCAACCAAAGAATGACCGTAAGCATGATAGTTACTCTCTGTATTTCTTGCTGGAGAGCAAAGAATTGTATATATTTGGTTATCAACAGATCTAGCACGAGCCAATAGATGCCAATGCACAGGACCTGTAACTGTATTGAAGGCACTTGGATATATCATAGCGAATGAATTATATTTTCTTGCACTAATCATTGCTAGTTCAGGAAATCTCATATCATAACAAATCCCAACACCAACATGTCCATATGGTGTAGACACTGTAGTTTCCTTTTCACCTGGAGATAAAGTAATACTTTCTTTGAAAGTAATACCATTTGGTATGTCAACATCAAATAAATGAACTTTACGATGTGTACCAATTAATTCACCAGTTTCATTGAAGATTAATGCGGTATTGTATACTTTATCAGTCTTAGGATCAATTCCAGGGATTGAACCACCAAATAAAGTTATCTTATATTTCGCAGCTAATTTTGATAAGAAGGAAACAGATTCAGATTCAGGTGAAATTATTTCTGCATATTCTCTAAATTTATCAACTGAGTAAGGAGAATTGAAACATTCCGGTAAGACGATAATTTTGGTCTCTGGTTGTTCAACAAGTGCTTTGTCAATAAATGTAGCGGCTCTTTCAAGATTAGCTTTCTTGTTTGGTGACGAACCACTTAATTGAATTAGGGCAATCTTAATCTTTTGCGAAAGTATCTTGGACATCTTTTGGGGGTTTCAGCTAAAGCTATATATATAAAACAAATTGCTTCTAATTTAGTTATTGGAATCCCAAACTCCTATCTTAAATACGTTAATATTTATCTGTAATCCTTCCTTTATCAGTCATTTGCCAACTGACTAATCTCTTAATTTTTGATAAAAATCAATTTTGACCGTTCAAGCGAGGTTACCCGGGCCGTCGAAAAAATATTCGGCAACAACGAGAGAGAGCGCGCCGCACTATTGAAATCCCCCTTCCCCATTAACTTAAATATTGATGAAATTAAAGGAAACGCTGATGAACCTATGGGCCATGAGAAATTGTGAGATGAGTACAGGAAAATAATTCGAAGCTGAACATATTTAAAATATATACCCTATTGGTATATACATTGAGTGGACAGCGAATTGATTTTAAATCTATAGAGTCGATAAAGATCAGAATTTGTAGTGAGAATAAAAGATCGGATCAGTAGTACCTTTGATTTTTTGGGGAGTAAATTAAAATAAGTCCTCATCTCGATTGTTTTATTGAAAAGAATTTTTTTTTTTTCTAAACACAATTTATCAAGAAAGCTTAATATGTCTGGCATTAGTCATATTCCAACAAATGTTCCTCCTGAGATCGTGTATGAAATATTGACTTATCAATTTAGAGATTATATGAATAATGATCAACCAAGTACATCTGAAAAGTTTAATGAAAATTTAAGAAATTTTATACGAAGTAATTTAACTGTGAATAAGACTTTTTATCATATATGTAGAATATTAATTTACAAATATTGTAATCTTACTACTGCTAAGAGATTCCATAGTCTGTTAAATACTATCTCTAATGAATCAGAGTTAAGGAACATTATTCAAGTGGCCGATTTTCAAGAATTGACTTCAATTGGATTGGGTAGAACTGGTGAGATGAATAAACAAATTAAGAATTTAACAAACCATACTTTACTGAAATTTTTACGGTTAACAAAGGGGAATTTAAGAGAATTTTTAGCATGTGAGCATATCCAGGATGATTTAGATGACAAAATTATACATTTTCTTTTAAAACCAGGGAAAGTTTTAAGTATATTAGATTTTTGTGGTTGTTCCGGTCCAAATTTTACAAAGAGTTTTATTTTAGCACTGAGAGAATTATATGAACAATCATATTCTACTAATAGCAGTAGATCAAATTTAATTGACGATGACAATATGTCAATTGCTTCTTTTAGTACCATCAATTCAACTGATCTAAATGAAATTGAAGATGAAGATTTTCATTTTGCACCAGATGATATGAATTTAGCTGTTACACCCATTGAATGTAACTATCAGATTACTTGTTTAGGTTTAAATGATTGCACAGATTTACCAAATTTTGTACTTGGAAGATTATTGAAATCATTGCCGGATTTACAAAAATTAGATTTAGCACGTACATCTATTGATGATAATATATTAATTAATGCATCACCTCATTGGAAGAATTTAAGTCATTTATCTCTAGGTAATTGTTCACAAATTACACCAAGAGCCATTTTAGAATTTTTCAGTCATCACCCAGCTGTAACTGATGAAAATAATGAAACTACTTTAGAATGGTTAAATATAGGAACAATTTCTAATTCTTCATCTTGGACGGAAGTTCATGTTATGTTTTTCTTAAAGAAACTTTGTCAATTTGGACATAATGAAACATTAGAATATTTAAATATCAATGGACTACCTGTTCATGTGGTTAATGAAACTACAAGACCACCATTATCAAGAGCTAGTTCCTCAGTACGTCTCTTAGGATCTGACAATAGACCACACCCAGATAATAGAAATTATGAATCAGTGATTAAGACTAAATATTATTATCAATGTTCAGATACATTAACGTTTATTAAATTGAATTTCCCTAATTTGAAAAGTTTAAGTATAAGGGGTAATAATATTCCTATTCCAAAACTTGTTGAATTTTTATCACCAATGAGTGTATCGGATGCTTCTTTAGAAGTATTTAAAGATTTGAAAAAACATCAGAAAATTAAATTTTTAAACATTTCAAACAATACACACATTAATAAGTGGACTATACAAGATCCTTCACTCATTTCATGTTCTGATAGTCTTGTTGCATTAGAAATATCATTTGAAGCATGGCAACAAGTAGAAAAATCTAATAATGGTGGTGATATGACAATCATGAAATATGATAGAGAGACAAATAAAAATCATACTATCAAATGGAAATGTTATTTGGATTCGTCATATGGTAGGAGATATTGGCTTTATAAAACTGATAAATACCTGAATCGTGAGGATATCAATTCTACACAGGCAAGTTTAACAAGATTTGATTCGCAAGGTAATAAAATTATTGAAATTTTCAAACAACCGGATTTCCTAAAATTTGCTCAAAGTAAAATTAGTTTAAGTTGTGGGTTAGTGACAAAGAGTAGTTACAGAAGAAAACATTGTTATAGGGATATTAAGCCTCCTATTTCACAATTTTTAACAAGAAACGGTGGGATTGCATTTGGTAATACGTTTACGCCTATTGTTAGACCTCCATTACCTTCAGGTGGATGGAGGATCATGCCAGAGGACGACCCCGAGGATGAAGATGAGAGTGAGAGCGATATTCAAAGTACTGGAAACAACACAACATTAGTCAGTGATCATGATCTTGATGGTCCATTATCAGATAATAGTGTTGTTACAAGCACAGGTCGTCCACCTATAAATCATCATGAATCCTCCGGTAATGCACTATTCTGGGATAGATCGATGCATGATATTCCAACATTGAATCAATTAACAACTGATAATACTTCTCAAAATGAATCAAGAATTGCGACTCAATCCTTAAGGTCTCAGTTAATTAGACCACCTGTGACACCATTGGGTATCTCACAAAACATCGATCCTGCCAGTATGTACGATGCTGGTGAGAGTAACGATGAATATTTGAACAACCCTGAATTACAAAGGAGACGTTCTGAGTTGCAATTAGGATTTACTAGAGGACATTCATATGATTATACTTCAAACTCAAACCGCCGAAATAGAGCTACAAATAGTACACAGTTGCATCATCAATCTTCAACAGCCAACATTAAGTCTAACAAGAATGTTCCTAATGGTATTGCTCCGGGGGCACCCATGATAATAGATCCTAGAAGACCCAGCGATTATTATTACTGTCATCCAGACGAATTTATATATGATCCAACAGATGATGTTACATCTCACAGATATCGTTTACACCTGGCACAAGTCCACGAATACAGAACTTTTGGATGCATCGAGAGAGGAATGTACCGTTACTACAGCTTGAAGATGTAATTTTCAGACAAGGTGTGTGTGCGTGAGCATTCTTTTCTGTTTGTTGCGTAGTCTTTATTGTTTCACTATTGTTATTCGTGTTTCCGTCGTTGGTTAAATTGTATTTTGTCGTTTTTTTTTCGCGCTGGGCTGGCCCCTCTCGCTCGCTCTCACTGTCTCTGCAAGTTGTGCAGAAATGTAAACAAACCTGATCCTGCTGCTGATGATGATGTAAACAACATTGGCGAGAAACGGAAATCGGTTTAACAGTTGTCGAGGGGGAAGATAGAGAGGAACACTGATAGACCTATTACCAGGCAACTTGAAGTAATTTGTGATGGAAAAAAAGTTTACGTGTATTTGAAGAACAGTCACGTAATATTTATCTTGATAGTATTTATTTCTTTTGCTGGTTAAGCTATAAAACAATAAATTACCAGGTTTCTTTTGTTTCTCGAAATAATACCAACATAAGCATTAATTACTTTAGCATTCTGGCACAATTTGTGCATCTACATGTATATCATTGCATTAAAACGAAAAGTCATATACAAGTTTAGTTTAAAAACATAATTCATAAAGTACTGTATATATATAATTAATATAAACTTCCAAATTAGAAAAAAAAAGCACGAGAGAGAGAGAGAGAGAGAGCAAGTGGTTAAACGTCAGAGAGTCTGTTCTAGAAATAATTGAAAAAAAAAGAAAAATTTTGATATTAATTGAAAAGAAGATAAGAATAAGAAGATGTCGTCAGACACATCATCATCACAAAATCGAAGTATAAAACGTGATGCAAGGCATTCCTTCTTCATAGACGACTCGGTTAACAGTTTAACTCATAATAATAACGAACAAGACAATAATACTAATCCTCGACAAGATTCGTTTACTGTTTATATAGATCCATCCTTTATGGGAACAACTCATACACAAACAGATTATAGTAGTACGCGAACATCGAGTTTAAATACAACAGATATTAGTAATTCAGATGATAGAAGTAATAAGATGGATGAAACTGAAAACTCACAAAGTTCAGAAAAAAAACTTAATAAGATATCAAATCCTACAGAGACCACAAATAAACAAACAACAAACCCATCGATACGACAGGACCCAACTAATTTAAGCAAACAAGAAGAAGAATCACCTAAATCAAATAAATCACAAGTCACTCAAGGAACAGGTATTCTCGAGCAGCCACTAGAATCAGGGAGTCCACAACGTTCTCAGACCCATAATAGTGATCATACTGTTTCTACCACTGCCTTAGACGATACCACTGAAGAAATTCATAGAAATTCAGTGCTTCATGAAAATGGTATAAATTTTAATACTAATGATCCTGAATTTAGTAGTCCACCAATACGACATAACCAACCCCCAATTGATCGTCAAGACAAAACACATTCATCATTATTCCAATATGATGAAACAATTGAACCAGATATTGAAGAAGCTGTGAAATTGTTAAAGAAAGAGATGAAAGTAAATCAAGCAAATTTGAATCACGTACGGTCTGCAGGACATCAACATGTTGACAATTATAGTTTCCTACAAGGAGATAACAATCGATTTTCTGTTGAATTTCAACCACAAGTGTTTCATTTGATTTCAAAAAGTTCATCGAGTCAAGGAAGTAGTCTACCCAATCAGCGTCCAATATCACAAGTCCTACATACCCCAAAGAATCCTTCATTAATCAACAAATTCATTGTGAACCAAGTACTCGAACAAGATACCCACGATTTACCTTTGAAAACAGATCCCGTGATGGTCCCACTTTGGAATCGACCCTTAATTCACAAACCCACTTCAAGTAATCACCGTAACATTAATCGACTTAGTAATGGTGGTATTAATGGGATTCCGAAGATTCCAGTATTACGTCGAGTTTCGGGACCTAGTAAATGGGTTCATACAGATAGAGACACAGATCGTAGTGCTAGTCCTCAACATTTTTCAGTATTTGAAACTCGTAGTCCATTGCAACAATTATACCAAACATCAATACATGAGGATACTGAGCAAGCGGCATTGATGGGATCGAATCATGAACCTTTAGATATAGTTGACCTAGAGGCTCACCCACGTATATCCCAAGCGTCATTCCTCGAAAACCATGGTGATAATAATAATAATAATAATAATAATAATAATAATAATAATAATAATAATAATAATAATAATAATAATGGTTACTATTCTTCACCGCCGCCTCCCAATGTTAATGCCGGGTATGAAATTCTACAACAAAGAATCACTAATTCATCTGTTGAGTCCTTTGATTCAGAAAAGCTTGAATTTAAAGATATTTATTCGATAAAACGGATCATGATTACAATTGGGATATGTATGATATGTCCCATGATTTTTTTTATGATTGGTGTTGGATCTCGTGCTGGTATTAATGATTACCGTGTAATGAAGATGATTCTTAATGAAGAACATAGAGTTGGATTATTGAAGGGATTTATTTGGGATGTTAAAGTGAATTGGTTCCGTCATCTATGTTTTTTCTTAGGAATTATTGAATTACTTATCGTGGCAGCATGCATTGGTATTGGATTCGGAGTTGGTTTACACACTTGATGTTGTGTTTGTTCCCTGGGGGGATTAGAATAAAAAGGAAAATCACAAGTAGATTATCATATATATTTCTTTATAGACAATAACCTTAACATAAATAATATTCATAGAAGTTAATTTAAAAAAACACCAAATTTATTCATTAACGAAACAACGTTCGTCAAAACATTTATATATACATCGTTATATAAATTTAAAATAAATTTTTAATATTTATTTTCAATAATAACTATTAAATATTTATTATAATGTTCGTTATTTTAGTTTATATCTTTTTTTTATTCATTTATCAAAAGAATCGTTATGATCATCATATATTTTCATGTTTATAGAGATAGAGAATAATTAATAATAATAATAATAATAAAACCTACAAAACGGTATATTTCATTTAAGCAACAACTTTCTTTTCGATCATTTCAAACAAAGTGACGATATCGGCAGAGAATTTTCTGATACCTTCAGCTAATTTTTCAGTACTCATAGCATCATCATTCAAATCGAATCTAAATTTAGATTCATCGGAGATATAAGAGATCTTTTCATCACCTTCCTTCTTAGCTTGTTCTGGAGATAATTTTCTTGGTACAGCAACATCACTATTCAATAATTTTTCCAGTAGAGCAGGAGAGATGGTTAAATAATCAACACCAGCTAGAGCTTCAATTTCATCGGTATTTCTGAAAGAAGCACCCATAACAATAGTGTTGTAACCATGTTTCTTGTAGTAGTTGTAAATTCTCTTGACTGAGATCACACCTGGATCAGTTTCACCAGTGTATTCTTCTCCAGTCTTTGCGGCGTACCAATCCTTAATTCTACCAACAAATGGAGAGATCAAAGTGACACCAGCTTCGGCGCAAGCAACAGCTTGAGAGAAACTGAATAATAGAGTTAAATTACAATGAATACCGTGATCTCTTTCTAGTACTTGTGCGGCTTGAATACCTTCCCATGTAGAGGCAATCTTAATTAGGACACGTTCTTTTGGAATACCAACAGCATCGTATAAACTAATAATATGTTTGGCCTTTTCAATAGTAGCTTCAGTGTCAAAGGATAATCTAGCGTCAACTTCGGTAGAGACTCTGCCTGGAACAATCTTTAAGATTTCAGAACCGAATTCAACTAATAGTTTATCAACGGCACTTTCAGTCTTTTCAGCAGTAGTCTTACCATGGCTCTTACCATATTGAACTGCATTATCAATTAAATGAGCATAAGTTGGAATCTTGGAAGCAGCTAAAATCAAAGATGGATTGGTAGTAGCATCTTGTGGTTGATATTTAGCAATAGATTCAAAATCACCGGTATCAGAGACAACGACAGTACCTGAAGCCTTTAGTTGAGCTAGAGAATTGTTGGCAATCTTTTGTTTTTTAGAAGCTGGTTCACCCATTGTAGAAATATGTATATATGTATGTTTTAGTTTGTTTGTCTATATAGAGAGTTTCCAAAAAAAGTAAGAATAAGTTAAACGAAGTTAAGGAAGAACACTATGAAAAAATAAGAAATAAATAAATAAGCAAGATCAGATCATGTTTTTAACTCTTCTTATATATATATATATATATAGTAAAACGAATTATAGAATGAGAAATTAAAAGAGAGAGAGAGAGAAAGAGAGACCTTGCCCCTGAACCAAGAGCAAAAAAAGTAAGAAATTATTAAAGGCTGACCAACCGATTTACTAAATTAATAATAATATTGTAAGTACCACCACTTCACACCAACTTTTTCAATCCTGAGTTCACTTGATAGACCAAAGAGAGTGAGTACCTTTTGTTAATTCCCTCTCTTGATGTAATCTGCAAAACCGTGAAGTGGAAGCCCAGCCTGTTTTGCTTCTTTGGGTGGTTTACCCTTTAACTTTCAGTAAATTCTGGTCGTACTGTTGCGGTTGTCTTTTGGCCACTACGTAGAGTTTATGTGTACGTAATCCCATGTAAACTCTTTCAGTCTCTTAATTGCGATTGCCATTAAACACCGCCCGTGAATTTGGGTATGACTGATTGAGTAAGCGGTATTTAAATCGTATTACTCAATGCTACGGATCGGGGGGGCGGGCGGGCAGGCAGTAAAATGGCGCGTGAAGCAGCGGTCGTTCGTTGGGCCAAACAAAACTGCGGTGCAGGCTGTTCCTTTTTGTTCGTTGGCGGTGCTACGCTGCTGGGAAGATCGGAAGAGCACGACGACGGCGACGACGACGACGACGGAAGCGGGAAAAGTGTGGGTGTCACGTGGACAGCGGGCTAAAAACATTGATATACGTAATGGTCTTAATAGTAGTATAAGGATTAGCAAGAACTATATATCTAATATTGGCATATTTTAGAGCAAATATTATTAATTAAAGTGGCAAGTGGTAAGCCTGGAGGGAAAAGCTTCAAGAGTCCGAAGTTTCGAGGAACTGGAGTGGCGATATCAAAAGTCTTGTTTTTTTTTTGTTTTATTTAACGTTTTGTTTACAAATACTCAAAATTTCAGAATATATCATAAATTGTATTTTGCTTGTAACTACATAGAGAGTTCATATTTATTAAAAGATGCATGATTACACACATCATCGCAATGCTCAACAGTCTTAACAACATCTTGACTTTGGATCCATACTTTATCCATCCCAGTCTCTTGAGATGTTCCTAGGTAGATGACGTCTTTACATTGATACCCTTCAAGGTGCACTCTTATACCAAAGGATAAATTAGAGAATGGAAGAGCTCTTGCTTCAGTCGCCCAAACTAATTGCTTATTACTACGTTCAGCTTTATAACATACAGCATAATACCATAGCCAAGCTGGTAATTGATACCTTGAAAACATTTCTTCACATTCACGGATAAATAAATTTCTTGCGTTTGTTAAAGTTCCTCTGCTCGATTGAACATCATCTTCAAATATGGTATCAATTAAATTCTTACCCAAAAATTCTCTTATTGTTTCGTTATCAAATATCTCATCGTGTGACATATTAAAAGCTTCAATTGTTTGAAATGGTGACATTACACTAACACTGTTAATAACGTTTTTGAAAATTGTTATTAATTCTTCAATGGAATCGTCCATCATATAATACACCCAACGATATCTTGAAAATTCATCAACAAATGTTATTATATGATAGGGAAGTCTTTTCTTACTTTTAATCCTTTGATTTGACCATTCATTTTGATAATTGGAAACAATATGAACATAAATATAATGAAATAAATCTGATTTAATTGGCAAAAAAGTATTCTTGGGCCCCTTTTGATTTGTCTTATATGTATCTGTACAATCGATACAATCCTTAACAGTATTAAAATCTGTCCAATCTTGATAACGAATACTTGCACCATTAAAACCACGTATTACTCCTGTAAGAGTTAATTTATGTAAAAATTTAATATCTGTATGATTAAACATAAAATGAATCATCCTTGGCGTAAAATGGGTTTCCCCCTTTTTCATTTGGACAATTTCTCCAAAAATTGGAACATGTCTTATTGACAAACATAATTGAGATCCAACTGAATATAATTCTGCAATTATTTTCCTATGTCGATCTCTTAATTTAAAATTCTTTAAATCTACATATATGCCGGCCTTTTCTAATCCTCTGATTGAGATAACATTATGTAATGATCTTCCAGATATATGCATTGCTAAATTTGTTACAGGTCCATCACCTAATTGTAACCGTAAGATACCTTTACCAATACTTCTTATCTTTCTAAAAGGATTAAATTGTACGTTTGTTGGTTTCGTATAAATTTTATTTTGAACTAACGTATCTGTAACCACAAAGGATACTGTCCCAGTACCATCTAAGATAAACATATTATCTAAGGAAGATGGATAAATCTCTAATCTAGCTAATTCTTCAGGATCATATCTAATTCGATTTGCCTCCTCAGAAGTTAATATCGATGAACTTGAACCTATATTTGAAGTCTTAGAAGATGTTTTACGTTTTCTCTTTGTCTTCTTGACAATAGCTTTTGAATCGTTTACTGATTTTTTGGAGGTTTCCACTTTCGATTTTGAAGCTGCAATGATAAATGAATTTATAACTGCTTTTAATCGTTCATGATCATTTAATTCTAAATGAACATAATTTAACCACTTATATTTATCTGGTAAAAAAAAGATTATCGCATCAATAATGTATTTTAAAGAATATAGTTTTTTTTGTTCATCTAAATATTGTACTACTTTCAATACAGTTTCTTTCAATAATTGAGAATTACGACCGTGCAATAAAATTTTACAATCATCAACAAGTTTAAGGAAACCATTACTTTGTCTCATATTTCTTATTTCACGTTCTACAACTGCCACAATTTGTTTATCAGTATCTAATCCACTATAATCAATATTAAATGGACAGGATTTTTCAGGCAAGCACCATTTAAATAATCGTGCAACATAATGATACCTTCTAGGGTCGATTCGAGGTCTATCATCATATCTAGTAGTACCACGACAATACAAATCATAATAGTAAAAATATTCATCAATCTCCTGAATGAATTCCTTATAACAATTATATTCTTTATCATGAAGAACATGAACTCTTGGTAACGACGAGTTTTGTTCTATGTTATCGCAAACACGATACTTCAACGGCATCTCTAAAGTTTCATGAGGTTTATGATAAAACCCTAGTGGAGGTGGCATAGCACATATATTGGCAGTATCTCCAGTACACCAATACTCGTTATCATTCATAGGATGCTTAGGAGATTCTTGATCTTTCATAACGGGTATATAATATGTTACAGGTGGATAAACTTCATTCATCCATGGTGAATCATCTTTATTGGAGCTGCCCTTAGTTGGATATATCGGATTTGTACTAAATGCAGGAATTGATTTCATATCTGAAGAAACCGCAGCTTATACATGCACTTTCAATTGATTTACTGTTTATTTGTACATGGTCGGAGATAAGTACTATTGCACTCTTTTTTTATTATAAATAATATATCAAGTGACTATATAATGTTGAAGCAGGCCAAAAAAAAAGGAAGTAGGCGATGAGTAAGGTGCTTACTGTTTTTTACTTTCCATAAATAAGATAAGAAAAAAAAGAGATATTTCGTAGTGACAGTTGTTCAGTAAAACTATACATTCGAGTACATAGGTATTTTATAAACATGTTTGTTGTTGTTGTGTTAATGATATATTTAGTGAGTCTTGATAATAATGATTAAAATAGATAGAGGAATAAGCAAACACTCTAAATAACTTTGGCATTAAAAATCAAAAAAACAATGAAAAAAACCAGCAAAAAAAAAGAGATTTTAAAATTCTTTTTAATTTGTTTGTTTGTTGTGCTAATAATAAATTAGATGTCAATTCAATTGACTTCAGAATATGGATAAAAAATAATAGTTGTTAGGATAAAGGATTTTAAAAGAAAAAATGATTTTTTTTTTCAAAATTATATCTATTGGTTTTCTGGTCTTAGTTTTCTAACTTCCTTACCGACCTTCCAGATCTCCATAGATCTGATAGTTTCTAGTTCACCTTCCAGTTTTTCTCTGTAATCTGGTTGAGAGTTAAATTCTAGAGATCTCTTAGTTTCGGAACCGTTCTTAACAGAAGCGTATAAATCTTGGAAGACAGGCTTCAAGGCATCCTTGAAGATTGGGTACCAGTCTAAAGCACCTCTTCTGGCAGTAGTAGAACAAGCATCGTACATGTAATCCATACCGTACTTACCAACTAATGGGTATAGAGATTGAGTAGCTTCTTCAACAGTTTCATTGAAGGCTTCAGATGGAGAATGACCATTTTCTCTTAGAACATCATATTGAGCTAAGAACATACCATGGATACCACCCATTAAACAACCTCTTTCACCGTAAAGATCGGAGTTAACTTCTTTTTCAAAAGTGGTTTGGTAGACGTAACCAGAACCAATGGCAACAGCTAAAGCTTGAGCCTTTTCATGAGCTTTACCTGAGACATCATTCCAGACAGCGTAAGATGAGTTAATACCACGACCTTCTTTGAATAAAGATCTAACGGTTCTACCAGAACCCTTTGGTGCAACTAAGATAACATCAAGATCCTTTGGTGGTTCAACATGAGTCAAATCCTTAAAGACTGGAGAGAAACCATGAGAGAAGTAAAGAGTCTTACCTTTAGTTAATAAAGGTTTCAAAGCAGACCAAGTTTCAGATTGAGCAGCATCTGATAGTAGGTTCATAACGTAAGTACCTTTTTGAACAGCTTCTTCAACAGCGAACAAATTTTCACCTGGAATCCAACCATCTTCAATGGCAGCTTTCCAAGAAGCACCATTCTTTCTAACACCGATAATAACATTTAAACCGTTATCTCTCAAGTTTAGACCTTGACCGTAACCTTGAGAACCGTAACCAATTAAAGCAAAGGTATCGTTCTTGAAGTATTCAAGTAACTTTTCTCTTGGCCAGTCAGCTCTTTCATAAACAGTTTCAGTAGTACCACCGAAGTTAATGTGCTTAATACCACGAGTTGAAATAATTGGCTTAGCTGCTTGCATAGTCTTAGCAGATAAAGTTGGTCTAATAGCAGCATTAGCACCAGAGACAGTAGCAGCACGAGCAGCTAAAGTGAATGATCTCTTAGCGGTAACTTTAGAGTTACGTAGTAATTGTCTAGCAGCTTGAGTTCTCAACATTTTTATTTGTGTAATAAATAAAGATATATATATATGTTTTATTGGATAGTGTATTCAATATATTAATATATATGATTGGATGGATATCTATATATGTTAGATAATAATGTATAATAAATAATTAAAGAATAATGATTAAATAGAAATGGGAAAATCATTCAAGGGAGTGAAAGAGAGTGCTTTATATACTATTGAAAGTAGAGAATTGTTCCAATAAAAAAAAAGAAGAAGAATTGAAAAATTGAAAAATTAAATTAATTGCAAGAAAGAAGTTAAAAGAACCGAAATACTGCGAAAGCCGAAGAACAGCCCGCAGAGAAAAGCTGAAAATATATACATACATAATATCAATACTGTGTAAAATGAAATGAATCAACGGAGAACTCAAAGTAATGTAAAGATTGGTACAAAATCCTACTAATAATAAAAGAACAGATGGATGATTCATAAATTGTAATATCATCATCATCATCCTCATCATATAGAAAATTAGCATAGCAGCAACTATCACTGACACTGTTCCCGTAAACGGATCACATAATCAATCATTAAACGTCTTTCATTTAATTAAAGATGAAGTTTTCTTGCTGCGGTGTGACTAATTTAGTTATAGCAAGTAACACGCCTTAGCGAGCTGTGTGGTGTGTACGTGCGCGCGCGCCGTCACAGGAAAGAAAGAAAAAACGTGATGAGATTCTCTTTGTCGCAACCGGGCCGCCGTTTCTTCCGTTACCGCCAACGCGAGTGCTTCTTTCTGTGGCGAGATGGGCGAGTGCAGTGACCGTTTCCGCTGTCCGTGGGAGTTACTGGTCACGTGAATATTTGAAGGGTTCTTTTATTCTGTCTGGCTGTCCCCTCTTTTTGTTTGTTCGTTTTTGGCTTGAATGCAATTAATTTGTGGTCTTTAGCATATGGTTTGTAAAAGTAAAAGTGATCTGAACATTGCAACTTGGCTATACCTGTTATTTAGAATAGCAGTACTAACGTAGTTGAACCCTTCTATTATATTTTGAGTCATAGTCTACTACATAAATATATTTACCATCTACGAAAAACCAAAAAAACACAAAATATGTCTGTTTGTTTAGCTGTTACAAAAGGTGTTGCCGTGACTTCATTAGGTTTATATGCTGGAATCTTAACTACAGGTACAGTATTATGTTACTCAAAACCTGTTCAAATTTTAATTTCTTCATTAGATATTATATCACAAACACAACTAAATTTAATTATTAACAATGTTGCAACAACAACAGGTATATTGGGTGCACTAAGTTCAACATGTTTTGCATTCTCTTATTTTGGCTTACCTAAAATTTGGAAACATCCTTATTTAGTGTATGGTATGTTAATCCCACCTATTGTATCGACTTATTTATGTATATATAGAGCAAGTTGGAATCGTAAAACCTTATTATCTGATGACAATAATGATATTTCAACAATTAAAATGGAAGATCTAGATAATTCAACTGTTGATCTGGGTAAAAATCATAATAGTGATAATTTGAAAAATACTAATAAAATTTGTAAAAAAATTGGTATCCATTTGTCGTTGGCATCTATTTTAAGTACTCTAGGTTTATTACAATCTGTTGTTGGTTTATACGGTGAGGGTCAATTCTAGTGCTATATAAGAATTATGTATTTTCAGCACGTGAATGTCACATGATCCCGAAATTCGAATGGTTTGTTTTTTTCGGTTCACTAAAAAAAATATTTAATAATGAAAAAGACGCCACGCAATTGTTTAATAAATGAAGAAATTTTTCATTTTTTTCGTCTCTCTCTCTCTCATCTCATTGAAATTTTTCAATGATTTTGTTCTTTGAGCCTTCGAATCTATTTTCTTTTTAGAGAGAGAGAGAGAGAGAGAGAGAGTAAGGTCTAAATATATATCGTGTAAATAAGACACCTTACTCTCCCTTTCATAATTTATTATCATATATTAGTGTTTTTAATCTTATTTTTATTTTTTTTAATATTACTATTTATTAAATATACATTTTGAAAATAGAAAATAGTGAATTCTCTACCATCTCCCCTGTACAGTCCTTTTTTTTTATTCTATTGCATTCTAATATATTATTCATTCAAAAATGTCCTCTCAGTTCTTCTTAAAGACTAATAAGGATATTGAATTATTTCAAGGTTACTCAGATTTCAATGAATGTAACCATACTTCAAAAGAATCTCAAGTAATTAGTTCAGTTGTTTCTCCATGTGGTAGATTCCTTGCTTTGTCAACAAAGGAAGCAGTCCAAGTATTTTGTGGTAAAAATTTTGAAATTTTATTATTAGAGGCAAAAATCACTGATGTTTATGATATTAAATTTTCCCCTTCTGGTAATTTCTTAAATACTTGGGAAAGACCATTAGCAACAGATCCTGAACATAAAAATGTTAAAATTTGGTTTTTAAATAAAGAAATTCCTGATGCTTCTAATGTTAAACCTGTTTATGATTATAAATTTAAATCACAAAGTAATTGGTCTTTGCAATATTCAAAATTAGATAATTTTGCAATGAAATTATTTACTAAAGATTTAAGAATTGTTAAATTATCAACAAATGAACCAAATTTTGATTTTAACAAACCTTTTGCAACTTTGAATTTAGATCAAGATCCAACTGATCAAAATAGAAAATTTACAACTTATTTAGTTTCACCATCTGAACATCCAACAATTTGTACTTTCATGCCAGAAAAATCTGGTAAACCAGCACAATTAACAATTTGGCCAATTCTTGAAGGTAAAATAATTAAAAAAATTGCAACAAAATCTTTCTTTAAAGCCGATTCATGTCAATTAAAATGGAATTCTCAAGGTAATGCAATTCTTTGTCTTGCCATTACAGATTTTGATTCACAAAATAAATCTTATTATGGTGAAAATACTTTATATTTATTATCATTCCAAGGTGTTAATGGTACTTTAGGTGGTAATTCTGTTCGTGTTCCATTAGCAAATGGTCCAGTCCATGATTTTACTTGGTCTCCAACTTCAAGACAATTTGGTGTCATTGCAGGTTATATGCCTGCTACTGTTGCATTCTTTGATATGAGAGGTAATATTGTTCATTCTTTAGATAATCAATCAAAGAATACAATGTTATTTTCACCATCTGGGAATTATATTTTAATTGGTGGTTTTGGTAATTTACAAGGTGCTGTAGAAATTTTAGATCGTCATAATAAATTTAAGTCTATTGCTAAATTTAATGCAACGAATACATCTGTATGTATGTGGTCTCCAGGTGGTGAATTCATTATGACTGCTACTACATCACCAAGATTAAGAGTTGATAATGCTGTTAAAGTATGGCATGTATCTGGTAATTTAGTCTTTGTTAAAGAATTTAAAGAATTATTAAAAGTTGATTGGAGATCTCCAATTAAAGTCAAGACTTATGCAAATTCTCATGTTGCTAAAGAAATGACTATCGATCAAGACACAGAAACTGCCTCCTTGGATCCAAAATTAAATAAATCTCAATTGACAGTTCATAAGAGTGTTGCTGAATTTGCTGCAGCTCACCCTCAACAAGCCGCAAACCACTCAAGTTCTAATGGTGGTAAAGGGTCTACTTCTAAACCTGCAGGTGCTTATAAACCACCACATGCAAGAAGAGCTGGTGGTTCAAACTCCTCCAGTGTCCCAGGGATGACCAGAACTGTACCAGGTATGGCTAATAAACAAACCGTTGGTGCTACTACAAAGACCACTAGTAGAAGAAGAAAGGCTAAGAGCCCAGAGAATGATGTCGGATCCCCAAACAATAGTGTTCCCTCCTCATCTAGCTCCGAAGCATCTCCAGAAGAGAAGAAAATGAGATCTTTATTAAAGAAATTAAGATCAATTGAAACCTTGAAACAGAGACAAACTAATGGTGATAAACTTGAAGACACTCAAGTACTCAAGATTAGTACCGAGGCTAAAGTTCTAGCTGACTTGAAAGCTCTAGGGTGGAACGAATCTGATGCTTAGTTCCCATCACACACACACACACATATATATATCTATAGCAACAACATAATTCTTTAAACTCAGTGTGCCTTATATAATGAAATCACCATACAAAATTCACTATTAGAATAATTATTTTTATGCAGTGAGGGTAACTCCCCGACCCTTTTCGCGGCTCCATTTTTTGGCTTTCTTCGCACTAAAAGAAAGACGAAAAAAAGACGAAAAAATTATTTTAATTTGTTTTTTTGTTAAGCAAAACTGAAAAAACAAAGTTAGAATATCTCCTTTGGCAGGTTTTGTTGACAAAAGCATTGGTATTGGCGTCAGGTGGATGGATAAGGAAATAGTTAAAGGGAAATATAACAGTACAATAAATAACAAAAGAGAATAAATAGTGATTGAACCAAAGTAGTCATACTACATTACAATATAAACATTAATACACACTACTTCTTTTATTTTATTTTATAAGAGGAGAAAAAAAAAATTTTAATTCGTAAAAATCGATTCATATACATATACATATATTGAGAAATGTCGAACGAATTGGATTTATTACATGAAAGAGTTAAGATTGAGTTTAAGAAACTACTCACATTGAAAGATGCTATTACGGGTCTCGAACTTTCTCCTGTATTCAACACTTTACCACAGAAAAGAGACTACCCTGACTATTATGTCATAATTACCAACCCTGTATCATTTAATACCCTTAGGAAAAGAATACCAAATTATACTGATGCAACAGAATTTATGAATGATGTTGCGAGGATTCCTTGGAATGCAAAGACTTACAATGCTAAAGATTCAGAAATTTATAGATATGCTTTAGTATTAGAAGATTATTTAAAGAATACATTATTGAAAAATTTAAATGAATTTTATCCAGATTTAATATACCCGGATTTAGGTCCATTACCTGATGAAAAATCTGAAAATAAGAAACCAGTGGAAGAAACAACAATAAGTAATGATGATCAATTACAAAAAAAGATTCATGTAACATATAAGAAACCCGAAGATGAAAGCCAGAACGTAGAGAAAGAACCTTCGGAACAAGAAGAAAAAGAACAAGAACAAGAAGTTACTACAACTGCTACTGTATCAAATTATACATCAATGCAACCTATGCAAGAAGAGAAAATAATACCACAAACAACGGAAGAGCCGTCATCAACGCAAAATATACCTATCATGGTGGAATCAATGAGTCCTGTTAATACCAATACTAATACCATCACAGAGGTTACCACACCTGTCACGACTAATGTTATTCATAATGAAACGATTGAGAACAATAACGCTAATAATAATAATAACAATGCATCTGCAACAACAACAACTACAAGTAAGGAGGTAACACCTATCTCTAGGAATCTATCTACAACACCTCAAAGGACGACTCTTGCTACTTCTAGTTATAATAATAATAAAATTCCTTCTGCAGGTAGTAAGAAGACTCATATAAGGCGTGGGAGACCTCCAATAATTGATTTACCATACATTCAGAGAATGAAAAATATTTTAAAGGTATTGAAAAGAGAATTAGATCCTTCAGGTTCTAAAAAAAATATATTAAGTCAATTTGAAAAATTACCTGATAGAAATAAACAAGCTGATTATTACACGATAGTATCGAACCCAGTTTGTATTGATGATATGTGGAAAAAGATAAAGACTAGAAGATACAAAAATTTTAATGAATTCCAAGTCGATTTCATATTGCTTCTTGATAATTTCAAGACATATTTCAGTACAATTCGTGATATACAAGGCTTGAATACATTAGCAGCTCTTGAGAAAACTTTTAAAATGGTAACGGATTTTGAATTGACAAAACCAGATAGTGAATATATCCCCGAGGGTGAATTTAGATATCCCATTGATGAAATAATTATGGATGGGAAAACGTACTGCATTGGTGATTGGGTTTTCTTAAACAATCCAAACGATCCAAATAAACCTATTGTTGGACAAATATTTAAATTATGGAGTACACCAGATGGGAAAAAATGGTTGAATGCATGTTGGTATTTTAGACCAGAACAAACGGTTCATAGAGCAGATAGGTTATTTTACAAGAATGAAGTTATGAAAACAGGTCAATATAGAGATCATCCTATTGAAGACATTAGAGGTAAATGTTTTGTGATTCATTTCACTAGATTCCAAAGAAGTGATCCAATAGTAACCCTTGAAGGTCCGCTCTTTATTTGTGAATTTAGATATAATGAAAACGATAAAATTTTCAATAAAATTAGAACTTGGAAAGCCTGTTTACCAGAAGAGATTCGTGATATTGAAGATCAAAATATACCAGTTAATGGTAGAAAATTCTTTAAATATCCTTCACCAATTAAACATTTATTACCACCAAATGCTACCTTTGATGATCCAATACCTGAACCACGTCGTGGCTTACCAAATGCTCCACCATTAGTAGGTGCTGTTTACATTAGACCCAAGGTTCCAAGAGATGATCTTGGTGAATATGCAACTTCTGATGAGTGTCCACGTTATGTAATTAGACCTGGTGATCCTCAGGAAGATGGTCAAATTGATTATATCAATGGTACAATCTTAACAAATTCATCAACTCATGGTTCTACTATCCCAAGGAGAGTTGATTCATCTTCGAGTATGAATATTGGTAACAATGGGAGCCCTGTTCCAAGTGGGCCACATCCAAAATATATTTCAAATGCTGATAAAATGAGAGATACTATGAAAGTGGATTTAACTAAAATGCAAGAACAGAACTTGCCAAAAGTGCCTATAAATAAAAGTAATGTTCCATATATTTCCAATTATCAAACCATGAATCAACAAGGAGGATTCGGTGGCAACAATGTGAATACCAACATGGTTGATCAAATGCCAATACATATGGTTCCTAATACAAATATCAAAGGAACTATTGGTACTAACCAAGTTCCTTATAAGAGCAACTCGAGACTTGGGTCAAGATTAATGATCAACAACGATTCTACTCCTATATTAACTAAACAGCAACAGAAAGCGCAGACAAACAAGTCCATCGCGTCTTTATTACAAATTCTACAGACTAAAAACTCAGTATCTCAAATCATTATCGATACACCAAACACATATACTCTACCATCTGATGTACCTCAAAGAGATCCATATGTGACTACAATTGATCATGGAAGTATCTCTAGACGTTATACAAAACAAGATATTAGTTTAAGACGTAACTTAAACACTACTAATGAGACGTTATGGTTCAGAGGACCAGGTACAGCTATCACTGAACGGATCATTAATTTAGGAGATAAATCATTACAATTACCAATTAATGAAGTATTTAAAGTTCATGAGGATCAAAAAGTAAACACTGAAGAAACGAAAAGCTACGAAGTTGAAGAAATGGAAGAAATCGTAATTAAAAATCCAATAGATGCTACTCAAGAGGAAGTTGTTGTATCAACTACGCCATTAGTAAATGGACGTAAAACTATTACATTATTAAACAATGACGACTCTGATGATGTTAGTATCGTTACGACAAAAGATGAACAACAACAACTAAAGAAACCTCGTATTGACGATGTAACCGAGAATATTGAGGGTCCATTTGTACACGGTCTAAGAGCATCCTCTACTTTCCTTGCATACAAAATCAGAGCAAATGCTGGTAAGTAAGACGTCGCAACAAGATACATCTAAATAATGAAAATCACTTTGACGGCAGGTATCTGGTCTAAATACACTAACTTTATACAATTTTTCATTTATGTACATATACATACATACAGACACGTACACACTGCAAATGACGTTCATTAATAAAATACACGGTAAATACAGGGATGCAGTTCCATCATTTCTCAGTTCAAATCAGCTTGATCTCTCTCTCTTTCACTCTTTTTATGAGTACCCTGACCAGAGTCAAAAAAAACATGTAAAGAGTCGCTTCACTAACTGAAATTTCTTTCATTTAACTTGAAATTTTCCAATTATTTAGCGCAACTTGCACTGCGCTGCTTAGTGACTCCATTTTTAATTTTTAATTTTTTTTCAGTTGCGGCTCACTGGGATGATGAGGTAACTGAATAATTAATTATTATATAAGGAGAAATGATAAACCTTACTGGAGTTACAGCTGATTTAGGCTATTGAACCGATTCCTCTCGTATTTTTTAGTTATTATCTATTGCTTGAATAAATAACTCTGTGTGCATTTAATCGTTTTTAAGAAAGCTAAAAAGTAACCACAGGGTTTTGTTATACTACGATAAGTTTTATTCAATCAAAACTTTTTATAAGCCTTGCCTTTTTTGCTCAATCATTGAAGCTGATCCTCACTTTCCAATTCTGTCTTTTGAATAATGTCTGAATTTGATAAATACGCTACCCCATTATCTTCTAGATATGCATCCAAGGAGATGTCCGCAGTTTTCTCCCTTAGAAACAGATTTTCTACATGGAGAAAACTATGGTTAAACCTTGCCATTGCAGAAAAGGAATTAGGCCTTGATGTTATTACTGATGCTGCCATTGAACAAATGAAACAACATTTAACAATTACTGATGAAGAAATTGCTGCTGCTTCTAAGCAAGAAGCCATTGTCAGACATGATGTTATGGCCCACGTACATACATTTGGTGAATCATGTCCGGATGCTGCAGGTATTATCCATTTGGGTGCTACTTCCTGTTACGTTACAGATAACGCTGATTTAATCTTCTTAAGAGACGCTTATGATCTTGTTATTCCAAAATTAGTCAACGTTATTGACAGATTATCTAAATTTGCCATGGAATACAAGGATTTACCTGTATTAGGATGGACTCATTTCCAACCAGCACAATTGACTACATTAGGTAAGAGAACCACTCTATGGATTCAAGAATTACTTTGGGATCTAAGAAACTTTGTAAGAGCTAGAAATGATCTTGGTCTTCGTGGTGTTAAGGGTACTACAGGTACTCAAGCCTCTTTCCTAAGTTTGTTTCACGGTGATCATGATAAAGTCGAGGCCCTTGATAAGAGAGTCACTGAATTATTGGGGTTTGATACCGTCTACCCAGTTACAGGTCAAACCTATTCTAGAAAGATTGATATTGACGCTTTAGCCCCATTAGCATCCTTCGCTGCTACTGCCCATAAGATGGCTACTGATATTAGACTATTAGCAAACTTAAAGGAAGTTGAAGAACCATTTGAAAAATCTCAAATTGGTTCCTCAGCAATGGCCTACAAGAGAAACCCAATGCGTTGTGAACGTGTTTGTTCTTTAGCTAGACATCTAGGTTCTCTATTTAGTGATGCTGTTCAAACTGCTTCAGTTCAATGGTTCGAAAGAACTCTAGATGATTCTGCCATCAGAAGAATTTCTTTACCTGGTGCATTCTTAACTACCGATATCTTATTATCTACTCTATTGAACATTTCCTCTGGTCTTGTAGTATATCCAAAGGTTATCGCTAGAAGAATTAAGAGTGAACTACCATTTATGGCTACTGAAAACATCATTATGGCTATGGTTGAGAAAAATGCCTCTAGACAAGATGTCCATGAACAAATCAGAGTGCTCTCTCATCAAGCTGCTGCCGTTGTCAAGGAAGAAGGTGGTGACAATGACTTAATCGAACGTATTAAGAAAGATGAATTTTTCAAACCAATTTGGAATGAATTGGATGCTTTGTTAGAACCATCTACTTTTGTTGGTAGAGCTCCACAACAAGTTGAAAAATTCATTGACAACGATGTTAAGAATGCTCTAGCACCACATGCTAGCATGATAAATGACGTTGAAGTGAAATTAAGTGTTTAATTTGCCTTTATCAGACATACATAAACTTACATTAAGTGTTGTGTTTTGAATGCCATGTTTTTCTTAATTTCCCCACACATTTTTATATATAGATAAAAAATAACAACATATGTAACAAAAATAATTTAATATATTTAATAAAGAAAATTATAAATGATCAACTCTAACGAGTCTGAGTTAACTAGAAAATCGTTTTTTCACACCTCAAACCTAAAAAGACTTTTAAACGTTTTCGAGAAGGGGAGCGTATGTAGTATTGCCAATCTTGATAATATAAGCGATTCCCCAAAATTTAAAACAATTTAACAGCATCCACTTTATAACACTAAATAAAAAGGTAAATAAAATACAATCAGGACGAAAAGAAGAGGGTGGCAACTTATGACAATAATAAAATAAGTGAGAATGGCCGTTCAATACTTACTACAGAGGAGGTTAAGACATCTACGGTCTGTCACATTGAACAACATCGTACTTCAGATAGATAAAGTTGTTAACAATGAAGAGCAAACATACAGAGAGGCTATTCGTTCCCTTGATTGTTTTTTCATAATAGAGAATCTCAAAGGAGATGTATCACTTGTCAGTGAGGTACAGAGAAGCCCTTTGAAATCCATTCAATTCAATGATGTCAATTTTTGCGGTGATAGTACTAGCAAATTTATCATAAAACTCGTTGTACATATACCTGATGAATTATTTAAAGAACCGGATGCTGATAACCAATGGTGCATTGTTAAGGAATATTTAGTTGATTTAAACCAACTTCAACTTATTGATATGAAAAATGATAATGTGTTAACATCAAATGTTCCAATTTTTATTTTGGATGATGGTTGTTATACACTTAAAGGTATAGATATTGAAAAGGGACCATATTATCTATCGTCGAATGAGTCACACAATCAAAATAAGATATTTAGGAGTTCGAAGAAATCATTTACATATAATACCATATTAAAATTGAATAAATTACTCGAATATATAGGTCAAACCCATGAGGAGACTAAAAAAATATCATCAAAATTAGAGAAACCATTAAGTAAATCACATAAATTAAACAATTCTAATTGTGAAAACATTGAAGCTTATAAAGACCAAATAAAGAAGTTGATTTCTAAGAAGAAGGCAAAAATAAAATTATTGAAGGAAGAAATGGAGGGACATGAAACTTTAATACGATCAAACACAGCTTCATCCGTGGATATAACAGATAAAACAAATGTCAATGATCAGTATGGAAGTATGTATTCAAATCTTTTCGAGATTCGAAATAGCTTAGCTCAATGGAGAACCAAAAAATTGAGTCAATTAATATCCATATTTAAAGTTCAGAATTTCTTTGATCTGGCAAAACAACTAAACTGTGATCAATACATCTCAATTGTAAATAAAAAAGATTTAGAACTGGGTAACAATAGAAATCAACAACAAATCGTATTATCTATTATTAAAAAAGATAGATTACAGGCACAGATTAATAAATCATTAGATACCCAAGAACGGATTAATACTTTCTTAGGATATTTTCTATTGTTTATAGATATTTTATCAAATAATATATTTGATATCGTTGTACCATCTAAATTAATGTTCTATGGAAGTACATCCATAATTAATAAAGTGTACCCATTATATTTACCTCATGCATACTCCACATACAACCAAGAACGATTTTATGAAGCTATTGATTTATTCAATATTAATATCCAGCAATTAAAACAGTATTTAACGGACCACTATAATAATATATAATAAACTGTGTAGATCCCATGAATATCACCCTCATTCTATACCTTCTATTAAATTCATAATAAATCATTGCATATATATATATATATATATAATTTCTATTCAGCTTAAAGTTGTTGTTGATCAAATTTATCATTAGGTGAGCCATTAAGACGTTTCCAGGTATAAATATTACCATTACGTGGATTAATATCGTACATTCTAATTCTGCGTTCAGTACCACCATATCCAGCATAACCACCTTCTCCGGCACCACCACCGAAACATACCCAGATTGGATTTCTTGCAGAATCAGTTTGTAGACAGTAATCGTTGCAATGATCATGTCCACAACTTGTCACCTGAACACCTAAGTCATCTAATATTTTCAAACCACCAGAATTATACTTGGGTGCTGTGACACCTTCTTTAAAAGATCCAACTAATGTGTTTTGTTCTCCTGGTCTTTTCTTTGAATCTACATCAAGATACTCAGGAAGTGGTATATGGAAAAATGCCATTGAAATATGAGGTTTATCTGTCGGTATATCTTTATAAAGATTCGTCTCGTAGACATCTTTAATGTAATCCCATTGTTTCTCTTTAATCCAATCATAACCAGGATACAATTTCCCTGTCTTTGAATATTTATGAGAGTCCATGAAATAAAAAGTCATCAGAACGTCATCTGGGTTACTCTTATTATAGACTTGTTGAATATAATTTCCAACACCAAATGAATTATCTCGAGTATCAAAGGGACTGAATTTAAATAATGAAAATGGCAAGTTATAAACCAATTCTGAAAGTTCCCAACGTGTTAGACTTCCTTCATCATCATGATTACCCCAAACCATTGCCCATGGAATCTGTCTTTCTATTACAGGCGCTACAACTTTCAATAGGGTAGATTCTGAATCTTGAATAGATCTATCGCCCATAATTTGATCTCCGGTGAATACTACTAAATCTGGTTGTTCAATATCTAATACGGTATTAATAAATTTAAAAGTCTTTGGATCTGCATGGCAATTTTCAGTTGTTGGAAATTCATCAATACATTTATTTTCTCCAACACCCATATGTAAATCTGCCAATTGAACTATTTTAAGATCTTTACCGTCAGGTAATAAAATCTTGGTTCTTGGATCAGAGTAACCAGGCGGTTTTACCAAAGGTGCTCTCTCTAGGGACATATAACTTGGAAATTTGAAATGATTAGATAATGGTTTACTTTTATATAATGTCCAATCCTTTCTTGGATCTTTACAATCAGTTCCAAATAAGACATTCACATTACTCACAAAGTGATGATTTCCGTTGTTATTACCTGAATCTAATAACTGTTTCAAGGAATATTTTTGAAAGATAAAATATAAATCATAGACTTTAAAAGCTATTTGTCCCTTTCCAGGAGTCGACTCATCTGTTACATCAGTAAGAACATAAAATTCATTAATTTGTGATTGTAATAGTGATCCAACAGTAATTGTATCAAAATATAAATATTCAGATTTACCGAACCAATCAAAACCAAAGGATCCCCTAATATCTTTCTTAATATCATGTTCATTGGTATGACCTTTGAGATTAGGTTGAGATAAACCTTTCATAGAAGTCTTTGAACAGCGTTCAAATTTAGTGGCTAAATAATGGCATTTTTTAATCCCAAGATTAGTAATAACCAATTGATTCATATCTAAATATTGAATATCGACATTTGCACCTAAGTCAATATGATTAGATGATAACAAACCAACAATTTCATCTTTCTGCCACGTTCTCGACCCACTATCAGAATCCGATGCTGATTTTATTGAAGAAAGGTAGTCATTCCCATTATTTTTGTTATTCTTAATGACAGGTCTTACATTGGATGTCCGCTGATGACGATAACCCATGCACAAAATATACAGAACTAGAACCAAAAGTGGCAACAAACGGACATACCGTTTTGAAAGTCTACTTCTTACCATTAGTGTCCTCAAAGTACTTTCTTCCTTACCTTTCACTATGATTGGTTATATAGCATTACATTTTCTTTCATTTAAGTGTCTCTATATATGATTATATTCGAAGATGATGTACGTTGCTTATATAAAAAAAAGAGAAAGAGGGAAAGGCATGGGTTGCCATTTTTAGCTTTCTGCGCGAATTTAGTGGGAAAATGCGTTTCACAGTAATCCAATTCCGAAAATTCACGCAAATCTGATGTGATGGGCTGACGACTTCCTGTGACTACAGCCAACCCTGTTCTCCATGGTATGGCATGTTTCGATATATCCATTACACTCTGGATGGCCCATGCCTGTTTGTGTGGTATCACATATAGATATGGTGCCGAATAGCGAGGAACTTTAACGTCAAATATAGTAGGTTGAAGAAAGGAAGATAACCAACATGAACTTCCTTTCATTTCATTTCTTCTCTGATGTAGGCCTATGATTACCTGACTGTAGCAGACCTCCCGCATTATCACTGTTATTATTCTGTTGTTGTCTTATTGGGTTATTCTTTAGAAACTCGGGACTGGAAGTGATAGCATGTGGCTTACGTAGTTGGTCAAGTGATACCACTTTGGTTTTACCTGCTCTATGAAGCTCTACAGTCTCTGGAATAGAATTTGGGTTAGTGCTAGTATTAGAATTAGTAGATTGATTTGGATTATTAGATTCACTCATTATTTCTCTTATTGTTTGTCTTGTTGTAGTGACAATGTGGAAACAAAGTAATACACTTAGACTGGCCCCCTTCCCCTTTTCTATATAAAACAATTGTTCTTTTTGTCATTTTGGCCATAACAGGAAAAGCTGAAAAAATGGAATCCGAAATTTTAATTAACCACTCAAACCTGAAATAAGAGGCTGAATAGGAGACAAATTATTGAAACAGATCTTGCAAGTTGCAATAGAATACGTTCAACTTAATAGGACATATTCTTAATCGTTAGAAGTTAAAGACTGTTCAGTGGAGAAAAGCAAAAGAAAACGATGTCTGAATCGTCCAAGGAAGATGGTGATGTCACTATTGACAAAATGCCAATTCTGACAGATACAAATGATGAATTCATGACAGATTCAAATGATCTTAATGGAAGTTCACAATTTATTCAAGGCTTTCTGACTGATTTAAAATGTATGAATTATTTGCCATTGTTTATTCAATACGGATTATTAGAAGAAAATGATATTAAATTTATCGATAAAGATATTCTATTAGCAATGGGGATTACAAAGATTGGTGATCGGATTAGAATCTTACGTAAAGCTAAAACTTTAGATAAGAAAACTCCACAATCTTGTGAACAACAGAGTACAGAACAATTGAATGAGATTATTAATAAATTAGGATCTTTATCAATGTCTATCTCTACAGGTTTACATACAACTGATTTTGCTAGTGAGAAAAGTCATGTAATTTTCATCTTAAATGATGGATCCGCTAAAAAAGTTAATATTGATGGTTGTTTTAATGCAGATTCTATTAAGAAACGGTTATTGAAAAGATTGCCAAATGAACTATTAGCTGATAGTCCCCAGGGTGAGAAGTCCCACGAAGTTGGTGATTACGATGTATTTGTTGTAGATTATACAAAGAATATATTACATTTGTTATATGATGTAGAATTGGTTACCATATGTCATTCAAATGATAGAATGGAAAAGAATAGATTAATATTTGTCTCAAAATATCAATCACCAAGTGAAAAAGCTATCTCTTTGTCGAAGAAACTTTATATTAAGATGTCAACTCCAGGTTGGGAAAGTAATTCTGTGGATGGAGTTAGAAATCATAGTAGTCAACCAGATTTAAGAAGAAATAAACTACCTGTAGATAATTCGCATGAAGGTATTAGAAAAATATTTAATCAAAGACCTCCAAGTGAATTAATTTCAACAAACCTTTCAGGTTATTTCCCAACTACCGACATTAAGAAATTACAAAAGACTTTGAGGGATTCATATCGCCAATCGATGCTTGTTAATTCTCATGGGAAAATGTCGATTAACCCTGAATCAAATAAAATAGGTGACATTTTACTGAAACACTCAAGTGCTGTGGATTCTGCTTTACTTCAAAGTCTACCTCACAATCAACCTCAAAGTTCTCATTCTAATATGACTTCAAAGACAATACAAAGTGGCGGTTCGGGTTTTATATCTTTGTATGCAGACACTTCTGATTATGAGGACGAATTGGAAGATGAAAATATTGAAACAAATGATATGATTTCTTTACCAACAAAGATCGAAACTCCAAAGGCCTGGTTGAAAGGTGCACGTATTGGTGCAGGTAGTTTTGGAAGTGTATATCTTGGTATGAATGCTACCACTGGTGAATTAATGGCAGTTAAACAAGTAAGTATTCAACCAATTATTGCCAAAGAAGAAAAACAGAAAAATAGTAATGATAAAAAATCTAAAAAAAATATATCCGAAATTCATAAGAAAATGGTTGATGCTTTACAACATGAAATGAGTCTATTAAAAGAATTACATCATGAAAATATTGTTACTTATTATGGTTCGTCCCAAGAAGGTGGAAATATAAATATTTTCTTAGAATATGTTCCAGGTGGTTCTGTATCTTCAATGTTAAATAATTACGGTCCTTTTGAAGAATCTTTAATTATTAATTTTACTAGACAAATATTAATTGGTGTTGCATATTTACACCGTAAAAATATTATTCATAGAGATATTAAAGGTGCAAATATTTTGATTGATATTAAAGGGTGTGTTAAGATCACTGATTTCGGTATATCTAAAAAACTTTCCCCTTTCAATAACAAACAACGTACAGATAAGAGAGCCTCCTTACAAGGCTCAGTGTTTTGGATGGCTCCAGAAGTCGTTAAACAAACTGCAACTACTTCTAAAGTTGATATTTGGTCTACTGGTTGTGTTGTAATTGAAATGTTTACTGGTAAACATCCATTCCCTGATTTTTCACAAATGCAAGCTATCTTTAAGATTGGTACAAATACCTCTCCTGATGTTCCATCATGGGCAAGTGAAGTCAGTTGTGATTTCTTGAAGAGAACTTTTGAATTAAACTTCAAACAAAGACCAAGTGCTGTAGATCTATTACAACATCCCTGGTTAGATGCTAAGATTGTATAATTGATATAGGCATGTACATAGTTTATTCCTGACACCATTTTAAAATCAGCAAATATATATAAATATAATTAATGAATTTCAAGTTAAATAATGAAACTATTACGATGTATATCTATTCTGATCGTGAAATACGTAAAAAGACAAAATTTGAATTATATGCTACTTATATAATGGGCATAATCAGAAAAGATCCTTAACACTACATGGTACGCTAATAATTAGAAGTTTCTAATAACAGATATGTAACTTCAAAAATTGCCACAAAATGGTAAAATGAATCCCTGCAGTACTATAATACTAATACCGGTATTTTTTTTTACCTGTATAAAGGTTATCTCTCAAATATGTTTGGGAAAAAACTCAACAGGATTACAAATATGGACTTGAGGGATCAAATGAAATAAAACTTCGGTGGTCCTTTCCCACTGAATGATCTGTGGTTAAAGAGATTGTATCGAGAGCATAAACGATAAAAACAATAAAAAGCAACTATGGTGTCCATAATTTTCCATTCTCTCTTGAGGCATACATTGTTTTGTTAAAATCAGTCATCACAATATCGTCACCATTTTCATCTTGTTGTTTAGTTCCATTCTTTTTAATCATCTTATTAAATTTTTCACTATTTTGGAAAGATTTTAAATTCAATTCCTTTGATAAGATATTGTCAACATCGACTATGGAACATGAAGGAATATCACAAAGTTTAGCAGCATCGCGAATTTGAGGGTCCTCTGTTAGTAAAACCCAACGTAGGGAATCATTATCATCCATATCTAAACATTTATATGCTGCACTTTTAAGTAAATTTTTCAATCTTCTTGGTAATCTATCGAGGGACCCTACTTGGTTAACATTAACCTCATCCCAACTGATACTATCCAGAATTTCTGGGTATTCTACAATAATATCAACATTCTGTAAAGATTCATCGTCATGACCATTATTATAACTTGGTATATTTGTCAAAGTATCGATATATTTCAAAGATTCCTTAGCTGCAAAACTCTTGCGTCTATGTTGAAGAAAATCTAATTCCTTTAATGTGAATGTAGGAATATATAGGTTGATCGATAGTTTATCAGAGGGTCCATTACACCATCTCCTAATGTTCCCAAGACCCTTCTCGAACGCAGAGGCATCTACAACAAAATTGTATTGGCTCATAACTTTCTAAATCGTTTGTATTTTGTTCTTCTTACGGTAAATCTCTTCGAGTTCGACAGTTATCAACGATGTAAATGCGTGTATTTGTCCCCTCGAAGTGGTTAGAGGTTTAGTTGTTGTTTTTATTCGATAGTGTGTAAAAGGTTGGATATGTCATCAAACTCAAAAGACAGGGCAAAAGCAAAAAAAAATTATTATATAAGAAGGAAGTGGGAATATAAACAGGAAGTAGGATGAATAATAAGATAGGGAGATAGACATATACACAAACACACACATATATATATAACTATGTCACACGTAGAAGAAGTGAAATTACTGTTGGAAGAACACAAGTTTATTCAATTTTCTGCTAATTGGTGCCCCGACTGTCAATATGCCAACAGAATCTTGAACCGTTATGATGTTCAGGAGAAAGTCAAGATATTTGAAATTGGGAACATGTCTAAGGATGAACAAGAGTCTTGGAGAATATCATTCCAACAAGTCACTGGGAGTAGAAATTTACCTTCAATATTTGTAAACGGGAAACTTTGGGGTACCGAAGTCGAGTTACATCGTTATGAGGATAGTAATCAATTGGAAAAAGAGTTCAAAAATATAGGATTGCTGAAATGATTCTCTCACCGATTTATGTATATATAGGGTTTTATATCCTCCCTTTTTTAATAATAGATAAAGTACATAAATTGTTATCTTAGATTGAATGTTAAACACATTACTCTATGACATAGTTTCTTTTGATGTATTGCTATTTGTTGAGATGGCGTTGTTTTTATTTATTTTTCCTTATTTAAGAGACAGTATATATTGAGAAGAATATCAGCAAACATAAAACAAAACATAAATTAGAGGGATAATAGAGGTTTAATAAATTGATTATCGCTAGTCTAGATTATCAAAAGAACCATGGATAGTTCTCTGGCGAAACTTGATGACCTGCCCTTAGAAATATGGCCAGAAGTTTGTGCTACTTTGTCAGTTACAGATATATTGCAAATAAGGGCCACCAATAAAACTCTGTTAAGAACGATATCAGACCCAGTAATGTGGAAAATTATTTGTAGGGATTCCTGGACAAATGTATTAACACAAGAAGATTTGATATATGATGTCCCACGTAATATACGTAGAAATTATGATGATGTTAAGGATTGGTGTAAATATGGTATACGTTGTCATCATGCACAGAACCACATAATACACCGTATTGAAAAGTTAACCAAATGTACTTCACCTACTGAATATTGGAACAAATTCGATATTATATTGAAAAATAATTATGATGATTTACTACCTACCTTATTAACAATTACTCTCCAAGATTATCATGCTAATGTACCAGGTGTGTTCTCCTTAGATGTAAGAACATGTGCACAGCAGTTACTTGACAATATAACACACAAGAAGTTCTTTGATAACTTATGGTATATAAATGACCTCAGGATGTCAAATGGTGATATGGTAGAACCATTATTTATGGATTTTTCGAAATTAGACCCTAGTTTTTATGCATTAGCTCATCATGTATTGAGAGTAAGACAAGCAGTCTATGTAGCATTAAAAGCTAAATTTAACAACAGTTTGGAAAAACTTCAATTAATTAGACCCGCTCTAAGGGTTGAAATAGTTTGCAAAGAACTTTATAAAGAATTAAAAATAGGTTCCTTAGCTGTATTGCCAACTGAAAGAAAATATTATAATGAAGATTATTTCCTTTCTAGAATATATTCGGGTGAAGCTATCGGTCATCCATTATTAATACTCGCCATTATTCAATCAATTTGTCAGGAATACGAAGTCGAGACCTCTTTAACTGAACATTATTTATTAATTGTTGATGATGATTTACCGTCTGGTAGAACTTTAATGGGAGTTAATCCAATAACTTTACAGAGACAATACTATACTCATAATAGTTTTCTTAAAATGTTATGTAGACAAACCGAATTAGATGAACAAACCGTTATTGATGATATTATTCCTGATTTATTGAAGCCTTTCACTGTAGAAACATCAAGAAATAATCTCTTTGGTGATCTTTCTGTAGAATGTTGGGGAAGTTTGGCAGACCCTAGCAACCAACCAGAACTCTCTGCAAATAGTATATACAACTTTTTACCAAAGCCTACTAGACGTGAGCAAATTTTTAAACTTTTTCCTAATAGTAAACAACAAATTCCCGATAGGTTAATAAAATATATTGAAAATATTGATCAACATGCTGTATTACTTGGTATCCATGTTGATTCTCCGTCACTTAACATGAACTTTAAATCTTTAAGGAGTGATAAAGAATACAAAAGGATAGTGAAAGAAGTCAAGAATAATTATCCTGGTGATTCTGTTCATGTATATTCTGCTGGCCTTATCCACGATAGTTATACTTATCTTAATTGGTTAAAGGACAGCCGTAACATAAGTTTTGATCCAGATGAATTGAAACAAAAGAATAATTTTGGGACGTTTACAATGTATAGAAGTACCGAATTGGTTTGTATTCTAACACCTCTATATAAGCTGAAAGACTTACACTACGTTACAATCATGGATTGTGTGGGGGAGGTCAAGATAGTTGTTTCCAATCTTTTAGGGGATATTGTGAGAGATATTATACCAATCACAGAATATCTAGCCACAATTATGCCCCATAATGAACTTGGTTATTTGTTCAGAGATATGGATTGGATGAATAGACGTCTTTTCGTTAATGATAGAATAAAATCCCTTTATAGGCCTAGAAGCAGTAGTCCTGGTGGTGCAGTCGAATACGATGCAAAACATATACCTCTATCACCTTGTTGATATGTACATAGATATATTTAACTACATGTGTTAACAATATGTATTTTCTAATACAAAACCAAAATAAATAAAGTCAAAATATAAAATAGTAGCGATCTTTACACCTTTTATTCAGTCAAACGTCACAGTCTGTCATTATCTCTCACTCGGTATATTTGAAGTCATCGCCCTTTTCGCTAATCATATTATGCAGTTCGAAAAATGTTTTGCAACAATCGATATTAAAGGGACATTTGCTTAATAATACATTAAATGACAACCAAAAGCAAACAGAAAGAGTAAGAACACCTTTAGAAACACTTTCTTTTATCTTTTATGAACAACAACCAACTAAAATGCTAAGAGTGTCAGTGAAATCATCATTTACTAAGATCCCAAGGAGATTCGCTTCTACTAAAAGTAGTAAAGTAATTGGTATTGACTTAGGTACTACCAATAGTGCTGTTGCCTATATTAGAGATGTGAAAGATAAGAAATCGGCCACAATTATTGAGAATGACCAAGGACAAAGGACGACACCATCAATCGTTTCGTATAGTGTGAACCCTACTTCTAATAAGATAGAGAAAGTTTTGGTTGGGTCACTGGCCAAGAGACAACAAATGATTAACCCTGAGAACACTTTTTTCGCAACAAAACGATTAATTGGTCGTTCTTTTGATGATGATGAAGTTCAGAGAGATATGAAAACAGTCCCCTTTAAGGTAATGAAACAGAGTCCGACCAGTGATGCTGTGTCCCTGAAGATAAGTAACGGAGAGTTAAAATCGCCCAAAGATATTGGTGCAGCTATCTTATCATATCTGAAGACTACTGCTGATGAATACTTAAATGAAGAAATCGATAAAGCTGTCATTACCGTTCCAGCCTATTTCAATGACTCGCAAAGACAAGCTACAAAGGAAGCTGGGAAACTCGCAGGTTTAAATGTCTTAAGAGTAGTGAATGAACCAACTGCTGCAGCTCTAAGTTTCGGATTAGATGACAAAATGAAAGAAGGTGAACGAAAGAATGGTTTATTGGCCGTCTATGATCTTGGTGGTGGTACATTTGATATTTCCATTCTCGATATTGAGGACGGAGTATTTGAAGTTAGATCTACTAATGGTGATACACATTTAGGTGGAGAAGATTTTGATAATGTTGTTGTTAGACATCTTTTAAACAACTTTATCAGTCAAAATAATAAAAATAAAAAATTATCATTGCAAATATTACTTGAAAATAGAGCGTTAATGCAAAGATTGAGGGATGCAGCTGAGAAGGTAAAGATTCAATTATCCCATGTTAAATCTGCTATAGTAGATATCCCTTTCCTATACGACAATTTACATCTACATTTAGAAATGGAAGAAGAAGAACTAGATAAAATGACATTACATTTAATCAATAAGACAATACCACCAGTGAAGAAAGCATTACGAGATGCAGATATTGAGACAGAAGATATAGATGAAATTATTATGGTAGGTGGTATGACTCGTATGCCTAAGATTAGAAAGACTGTAGAAGATTTGTTTAATAAGAAACCGAACACCTCAGTGAACCCTGATGAAACTGTAGCTATTGGTGCAGCTATCCAAGGTGGTATCATATCTGGTGAAATTAAGGATGTGTTACTATTAGATGTCACTCCATTAACATTGGGTATTGAAACTATTGGTGGTGCATTTTCTCCATTAATTCCAAGAAATACAACTGTGCCTGTCAAAAAAACTGAAATTTTCTCTACTGGTGTAGATAATCAAACAGGTGTAGAAATAAAAGTTTACCAAGGTGAAAGAGGATTAGTACGTAACAATAAATTAATTGGCAATTTCCAGTTAGCTGGGATACCACCTATGCCAAAAGGTATGCCCCAAATAGCAGTAACGTTTGATATTGATGCAGATGGTATTATTAACGTTTCTGCCTCTGAAAAGAGTAGTGGTAAAGAGAAATCAATCACTGTGGTAGCAAACCAAGGTCTCACTGAACAAGAGATTAATAAATTGGTTGAAGAAGCAAATGAAAACCGTGATTCGGACAATACGATAAGAAAGAGACTTGAATTAATTACTAAGGCAGATATCATGATTAGTGACACAGAGACAGCATTCGAAAAGTATAAAGATACGATATCTACCGATCCTCAATACGGAGAAGTCCTCAATGAATTAAAGGCTCTAAGGGTAATGATTGATACATTTAAGAAGGAAGAGAATAACACAAAGTTAGATGTAAACGTGATCAAACGATCCACTGATGCTCTCCAGAACAAAGCTTTCAAGTTGTTCCAAAGAGTCACAACAGCATCCCAAAAGAAATAGTAGTGCAAACAGCAAATAAGCATAAATAACAATATAGCAATCAACCATATATGTAGATAGTTCAATACCTCAACCTGACGCGTCCCTTATATTTGATTAATTATTTTTATTGTTTAAAACCGCAATACTTAACGCGTTTTTCTCAAAACAATGCGGCACGTGACCGCGACCACCAAAAATTGAAAAATTTGGCGATGAAAAATTTTCCAAAAAAATTGCTGAACTATGCGCGGGCTTCTTTGAAGGAAGTGCTGGAATTTTTTTGATCTTTCAGACGTTGGTCAACAACCACAACATGAACATCAACTTATTCAGTGGGACAACCTAATAATTAATAGCTTACTGGGATGAAAATTTTGTAAAACGTTTTTATTCGAAGGTACTTAATAACTAATAGTTATTATTTACATATATATAGGTTTGCTTACTTATTATTTTTCTTGTTCAAATAAGATAAAAAAGAGTTTCCTTCTTTGGACCTGTGATTATTATCTGCATTTACAATGAATCAAGTCGCTGAAGAAGCTGTTGAGCAAGCAGCTGAACAAATATTCGATCAAGTGATTAGTAATTCTACCAATGTACTAGAATTTCTACACTTAGAAAATTTACCTTCCTGGGTCTCCTATGACATTCCAACCATACAACATCCATTTGGTTTACAATTATGGCCTATCTTCTCTAAGGCATTTGAATACTTCGCCGGCTATCCAGCAGAAGATTTCCAATTCATTCATAATGAAACTTTTATGGCTAACGGTCAACACGCTATTGGATTGATCATTGTCTATTACATTGTCATCTTTGGTGGTCAAGCTATCCTTAGAAAATTGAATGCTTCTCCAATGCATTTCAAGATTATTTTCCAATTGCACAATTTGTTTTTAACTACCGCATCTTTGGTTTTGTTATTGCTACTGATTGAACAATTGATTCCAATGGTTTACCAACACGGTCTATTGTATTCCATTTGTTCTCCTCATGCTTTTGCTCCAAAATTGATTACTTTGTACTATTTCAACTATTTGACTAAATACATTGAATTGATCGATACCGTTTTCTTAATCTTAAAGAGAAAGAAGTTGTTATTCTTACATACTTACCATCATGGTGCTACTGCTCTATTGTGTTACACTCAATTGATGGGCCGTACCTCTGTTGAATGGGTTCCAATTACTTTGAATTTAGCTGTTCATGTTGTCATGTACTGGTACTATTTCCTAAGTTCTTGCCATATTAGAGTCTGGTGGAAGCAATGGGTCACTAGATTCCAAATTATTCAATTTTTGATCGATTTAGTGTTTGTCTATTTTGCTACTTACACTTTTTACGCTCATAAATACGCTGATGGTATCTTACCAAACAAAGGTACTTGTTATGGTACTCCAGATGCTGCCGCTTACGGTTATTTGATTCTAACTTCTTACTTAGTTCTATTCATTTCTTTTTACATTAGTTCTTACAAGAAATCTAGTAAGAAATCTGAAAAGAAGAATGAATCTGCTGCTGGTAAGGATGTTAAATCTTCCGCTAAGACTACTGGTTCCAAGAGTAAGTCTACCAAGGCTTCTTCCAGAAAGGCTTAGAATAAAGAAAGACTCGTTTGTTTCTATTCCTGTATACATTGTTTCTACCCTTTTATGACATGTGTTTTGTTAAGTTAACTTTAGTAATTCTATATACATGACTTTTATGTACTAATGTTCTATAAATTTTTCAATACATATACATAGAATAACGTATGAAACTTATTTGTTTATTTATTAATGTGTATATAAACTTCTGGATATATAAATATTTTTCTTTTCAGTTTCTGAAATAACCAAACAATCTACTACTTTTATAAATCTATGTATTTAATACATATTTTGGTATATTTTTGTTTGTTTGTTAGCTTTTATATTAACTATATTCACATGCTGATGGTAATGTATCCATATCAAAATCAATTTTCCCAACAGAAAATTGATCATTAAACAACTTAATCTTAATGACATCTTCGAAGAATTCTTCACCTAATTGAGATTTGAAATCCTTCAAAAAAGAATAATTTTGACGAATGGATGAAGATGCTTGAGTTTTTATAATTTGCATCAATAATTTAGTCACTACATTGCCTTGTCCATATAAGTATTGCTGCCAAAAAGCATCACATACAGGCATCTTAATATCTAATAATTGATCCATAAAATTTACAGGATTTTTCTTTGGAACAGGTTTGGTGATGCCATGAACGTCTTCATCTGGTGTGTCTTGATGATTCCAAACAACACCATGTTCAGTAACATAACCACTCCTTTCACAGAATGAAAGATATGATTTTGGTATAATTGCATTGACTGTAGTTAAATACTCATATAAATCAGTCTGTATCATTTGCAAGAGTAAATGGAAAATTCTCGTCTGTAAAGCTGTAGTCTCACCTCTTCTAGGTTCTGTTCGAGGTGGCTCTACAGGTGGCTCAGAGGTTGCATGTTCATCGATTGAACCAATTGTGGCGTCATTGTTATCTTCGTCAGCTGTTTCATCATCATCGTCATCATTATTATTATTATTTTGAGGTGTATCACCTCCATCATTACGGGACATTTCATTGAAAGTTGCTGATGAATCAATTTCTTGTAAATCAACAAAGGGTTTTAAACAATTCAATATGGCTTGTGATACCATTTGAACAATATCAGATAATGAAGTAGAATCAAAAGTATATTCTAAAATTTCTCTTTCGAATAATGCCAAAGGACACATAAACATTGATACTAGAATCATATCATCTTTAATTAATAATCTTTTAGTTCTCTTAATAGTATTTAATACTTTTTTCATACTAGCCATGACTGGACCTAATCTAACTGCACTGATAGAATCTACTAAATGTTTTTCAATGGCAAATAGAGCTAATAATGTATAAATTCCACCTGTTGCTGGGCCAGAGACGTAATATAATACAATTTTGTTGAAAGATTTTAAAAAATCATGTAAAGTTGACATAATTAAGAAATCAGTTTTATTAAATTTTTCAATACCTGGTAAAGATTGTTGAATAGTAGTAATAGCAGATTCTAATTTAATAAATCTTTCAAGGGCTAAAGTTGCAGTAGAAAATCTTTGACGTTCGAAATATATCATTGGATTGTTATTATCATTTTCTAATATATTTGAAGCTAAATCTTTAAATCTGCTTAATTCCCATGGATTTGATCTTATACTGTCATATATTTTATTAATTCTATCAAATACTGTATTTGCAGATGGATTAGTATCAGCAATATTAATAACATTATCCAAAGTTTGATTATCTCTATCAATATCAGTAAACATATTATTATTATTATTATTATTATTACTGGTGTCATTGGTACTGTTTGGTTGATTTTCAATAATTTCATCTTCATCTGATTTATCATCAAATAAAGGTGAAATTATATCTTGAAGAAAAGTAACAAAACAATTATGAAATTGATTCATTGGAATATTATTATTAACAACTTTTAAAAAATCATAATTTTCAGAATTTGATATAGTTAAACGGCGTTCATTAGGTAAAGTAATTGCAACGATAGATTTAGCTAATGAAGGAATTCTTTTAATAATTTTTAATAATTGAGTTCTACAAGTAACTATACCCATATCTTTACTTAATGGATCACCAAGATCCACCGCTAAAGGTAATGATTTAATAGATTGAGACAGAGGGTCATTAAATTGCAAAGTTAAGATAGAAACAGATTTCGACCAAACATTATAAGTTAATGAAAAAAAATTCATTTTGGAAACTTCAATAAGATGTCTTTTAATTATTCTTACTAATTCATCATCAGCAGATTCTTTAGCTGAAGACAATTGCATTTTATCAATAATTAATTGAGTATCTAAAGCATTACGACTTGCAGTTCTTTGAACAATTGAATCAATTTGTCTCGATGTTGATTTGATTGTATCCATAATATCAAACATTGATGGAATATCAGCATTTGAAGCTCTACCTAATAACATTTGAACTGCTGAATCGTCTAAAAATTGTAAAGGTAAATTTTCTGAAGCAATGATTACAGCTAATAATTGAGTTATTGGGAAATTGTTTGTCTTTTTTGATTTTAAAATTTTTCTTCTTTTCTTAGATGCAGCTTCAAGTTTTGAGGCTTCAATGGCAGCAGCAATATCATTTTCATCAATTCTTCTTGTAGTCTTCTCATTAATGTTATCATTAGATATGTTAGTGTTATTCATAGCATTTGCAGTGGCAGTAGTAATAATATTAGTAATACTATTGTTGATAGTACTCTCATGAGTATCAGTTTCTTGATCTAAATTATCTTGTAAATCATCAAGACCATCATTACCAAATTCATAAAAGCTTGTGTTTTTATCAATACCATGAATATTAATTAAATGATCGATGATTTCTGTATTAACTGGTCTTCTTGTCTCTAAATTTAATCTATGAAAAATATTACCACAATGTTTACATTTAACATCATGAGCATCATTTCTAAACGCTAAAAAATGTGTCCAGAATTCACCTTTTTTCCTATGAATTAAATGTACGGGAATCCATCTATTGCCTTCATCATCTTCAATAACTTCATGTTGTAATTGTTCAGGTACTTTAATATTTCTGACTAATTTTTTATGTGATCTTCTTTCAATTGAATCAGCTGCTTTTGATCTTTTTTTGCTATTCTTTGTTGACGCGGTTGTTGTTGTAATATTATTTTCAGGTTGATTAACTCTATTTCTTTGAAGCACAGGTGGTAATATCAAACCAGCATCGGTTAATTCACTAACTTCCATGATTGTAAAACTGCTGCTTTGTTTGTATTTTTGCTATCTTATCTCGAACTAGTTGTTCAAAAAAGAAAAGGTTGCTATGATACCTAACTGTCAAGCTTTCTACAATTAATACTAGCAGCTTTCATGTATCTTAAAAATATCAATATTTCCCCAAACTTTCATGAACTTAGCCCTTACTCAAGAGAAAAACGAAACAAAATATCTATTACGGTTCTTTGGGGGGCCACCGCCAAATGAAAAAGTCCCCCCTTCGTGAGACATTACAATTGGCATTTCCCAAATTTTCTCTATTTCAGCGCTTCCACAACATGCAGCAAAAATTTCCTATTTTTTTCTCGTGTTGTCAAAAAGACCTAAAGACGTTCTCTCTCTCCCTCCCGTGGCTTTCTTAGTCACGCATTATGCCACATGAAAGGGTCTCGTACTTAGTGATGCCCCCGTAGCTTCTCTTTAACCAAAGTTTGTTTACTAGCCGATTCTCGGAGACCTCGCAGTAGACTCACAAAACAATGAACATTTTCACTTTATTGTGAGTATTTTTTTTGCGCTATTTTCTGTAAACTAAATTGGGAAACAGACAGCGAACAACAAAGAAAACGCACAGCCGTCCCGTAGAAAACACCACCAACCAAAATTATTTATTTATCTTTCAGCTTTACAAATCCTTTTGTCACAGCCGCGGAAAGTGCGGCATTTTTGTTTTCAGTTTTTCTCTCTTCCTTGTCGTTGTCAAATTAATTCGCTGTATTTTATCGAACGGCGCACTTTTCGCACGGTTTGCTGCCCACTTCCTACATCTCCCTTTCTCTCGCCCGCCACGTGGAATTCTGTGCAACGCAGCAAAGGACGGCTAATCAAAAAGGGAAACCGCACGAACAAACCGCGTGCCCACGCTCCCTGTGTCTAGATAGACCCCCCACACACATATATATATATATATATGTGTGAACCATGATTTTAGTAACACGCCAATGTAATTTGCGTGGGGGAGAAGAACAGCCAGTTTGTTTTTTGGTTTCCGCCGCCCCCTTTGGCGATGATGACAGTGAAAAATTTTGAAAATTTTATTCTGAAAAATGTGATCCGTTTTTAAGCCGTAGGGGAAATTAACATCAATAAACGTCTTAAGCTCGCTCTCTCTCTGTCTGTCTGTCCTTGAAAAATTCATTACTAATAAGATTGTCAAATGTTCATAGATATATATATATATATA